GAGTTGCTGGTGATGAGATGACAGTGCATTTGTCAATTGCGCAATGCTTGCCCACGCCTTTATTGCCGTTCGATCACTATTTGAACTAAACACACAATACACATCAGTCGATCGATTTTACCCACACTCCCATCCAATGGCTACTGACGCGCGCAAGACCTACTTATTTGGATCAGCCGTAATCTTCTTTGCTAATCGATCCAACGATTCAAAGTAGATTCGTTCTATCGCCATACTAGGGGTTCCATTCAACGTTAGCCAAACTCAACGCAACGGTTGCAAACGGCGTTTGGCCCATACCGTTCCGTAAAGTAGGTAATAACTTGCTCCATCCCCATTTCCCCCTGTGCCGTAAAATTCCGAAATGCAGCATACGTTTCGTCGCTCTATGAACGTCGGTTTAGCACTACGCACTGAAGTGGACAACTGACGTGTTCTTACACCGCCGAATTCGTTGGTGCCTTGCACCGGATTCCTCGGCATCGTCATGTTGCGTTACGTTCTGTATAATATCGATCAGTCAATTCGTCTTGTTGTTATGTAGTTAGTTGAGATGGTTATCCACCAACAGCCGATAACCATTCCTCTCGGACAACATATCAGCATCTACACGTATCCGATCCCTTCCTCGCAAATCAGACTTGGTCTCATCAATCCTCCGCTTTACTCTATTCTACTCCATTACCCACTCTACCTAAGTAGACACAAAAAGCAGGAAGCCCTACCTTGACCAAGCCAAATATCGGAGATATCCTTATACACACACACTGTGCTTGTTGTTGCCTTGGTTTTCGCAGTATCTCTATTAAAGCACTAGACTGTGGTGCTCAACACCAAACTACACAATACAATGTCGCAATCTTTTGATAATGATACAAAAGCAAAAAGCAACTGTGCTGTACTCTTTGCGTTCAGACCTTGCAACACTGGGTTGTGCTGGGGTGTTGCTTCAGCCCCATTGGTTGGAATGGACTGTGCCGTTGGGTGGAATGTAGATGCAAGCCGAACAAACCGTGTTAATGAAAAGTCCAATTCCAGGTCTAATACATCCCGTATTGTCGGTGATGGTAGTGTAGAGGTGACAGAAAATGGCACTAGCTACTACACCAGGGAATAAACCGGCGACAACCGGTTCGGAAAAGCTATCTAACTACTACTAGGCAATTATACACGCAATACGTAACGGTTGGTTCTAACCGGATAATTGCCCACAACCACATGCGGTCCCTACTAGGCCTTGATCCAGAACTCTTGATGGCATTGAAGCCAGAGTCTTCGCAATATTGGGGAGACTCGCAAGCTGGAGGATCTTCAGTGACAAGGCTTGGAGACTAAAGCTGCATGTCAGCGACAGAATGACAGAATGAAAAGAGATGATGCCATTGGTACATACCAACCAAGCTCAACTAATGTGGCAGCATAATAGTAGGTTTTGTTATCAGATCTGATTGGTTGCAGCTGGTTCTGATCACGGTTGCTGTCGGGCGGACGAGGTCCTCGACACCACCACATCTGTATTCTCATGATTAGACTGACAGTCGCGATGAGAAGAGTTGCACAGATGCTTTGAGAGTCGAGGAACTGGTGAGGAAGGGGAGAGAGAGCAAAGGCCCCCCTTTTATAGACCTTCGGCATGCGCCTCACCGCAGTTTAAAAAAAAGTTACATTAGCATGCCACACCACTTTGAGCGATAGAGGGGGTTCTGATTATGCGATATGGTTAACCGGATTAATCCGGAAAATAATGGGTCCTAGTGCCATTTTCAATCACCTCCACACTATGTTTTCTTATCATAGATTATAAGTTGCATAACGAAGGATGACGCTTGTTTTTAATACTAAAAAAAGAGGAATTGGGTATCCCTTATTCTGTCAGAGCACTGTGTCATTTCAGAATATGATGCTATTCTGTTCATTTAAATCCTGTAGTGCAAGTCATAAGGGATTGGAAAATGCGAACAGAAGGTGAACTCTTCTACTTGTCACCTACTCTGGCCATCCATAATGCCCACCATAGAAAATAACTGAATGCACCCGCAGACAATAACACCGTGGAAATTTCAGAATGGAAAATACAATTTGAAGGAGCAAGGTTGTTCACAGCATCAAAAAAAAGGTCTATTATTCTCCAAACTTCGCAGAAATCCACTCCTATCTCACAACCGTCTCGTCACACTTCCCCGCACACTTCCCACGCCCGTTTCGACAAGACTCGTCCTTGATGATCTCAGTCCATGATCGGCAAGATTCGTACGTGAACTACGTAACGACCGTGGCTCATTATCCGACGCAAGATTCGTACGAGACGATCGAAGACTGGGTGGTTGGGAGGGTGCAAAGTCTGTGAAAAACTGTACATTCATTCGTTAAGTATGTCGCTTCAAAACGCCGCGCATGGATGGAAGTGAGCGGTCGTACCTCAATTTTAGGTTTTGTTCGTAATTTTTCCTTTGTTTCTTGAGTTGGAGGTGTGTATCCTTGCGGGTAGCCTGAAACGAAAATAATCATCAATATGTCGGTAGGTCAGTGAGCAAGCATATGCTTGTGTGGGTCAGCACATACCTGTTTGCTCAAGGGACTCTAAGGAGGTTGACTTCGCTTTTTGTGTCCCTGTGTAGTTTCTGTTTTCGGTACGCTGTGCTTAGTGGTTTTGTGTGTTGCGGATATAGGAAAGACCAAGTTGATGACGGAAAAAAAACCTACCGTGGATCTGTGAGCCGCTTAACGACTTGTTCCGCTTTCTATCATTTCCAAATCTGCGTCAACAGACAAGTCGCACACATTGGCACATCGACACCACACACCTTTGAGAGCCCTGCACCACTCCCGTTTCCACTCAGTCCTGGTGCTCCAACCTCCGATGCGCGTCCTACTTCGGATACACGTTCTTGGTGTAATCTTGTGGCCTCATATTTCGACTTGTATGCTGAGGGAAAGTTTGTCGGGTCTGCTAGGCGGTTGGTGATGTCGTTTATGGATGTTGACTTTTTGTAATAGTTTGCGATAAGACAGATGTCTGTTTAATAGATTCATGCGATAGAGACATGAAGCCGAAACTTACATGAGTACGCGAGAGGGGAGGGCGGGATTCCAAGAGAGATGGTTGGGAGATCTGTGCCATTCGTTATGGAATGGGATCAATTGTGGGAGCGCAACTCTAGAACATTTTAACAGACGCAAAACCCACCGACTCCTCAAAACTTCCTCTCAATCTCCTCCTACGCTCTTCTCCAGCCCGAATCGCCTCCTCAGCGGCAACAAGAACACCGCGTCCTTCACCAGCCTCCATGTCGTGTGCAGACTCTCGCCTGGACAGAATCGGCTGCTGTGACTGGGGTTTTACGAATCTCGAATCAATCTCTGGTAAGGACGATTTGGACTTTACTTTCGCAAGCGACGGTTGCGATGCGTAGTGGTGCAGAGTAGGTGATGACAGTCCTAGCCGCGAGGCGGGGCGACTCAATTTCGTTGTGCTGCCGGATCGTTCCAAAGCGTCCGGGTCATACAAATGCCCCGAACTCCCCGTCAGCGCCGTTAATTTCACCTTGACCAGATTGTCTGTGCTCTGAAAGAGATTGTCCTCAGCTTTCGCTAGACTCTTTTCCAACGATTTCTCGACATTGTTTAGGATTGTCGCCAAGTCGGGCGACCCGGAGCGGGTAGGTGGTGAATCTGCCGCCAATTTGGCTGTGGAACGGGAGAGTGATTGGGAGCCATGTAGAGATTTGGAGCTGCGCGATGCAGAGAGATTCGACAGGGAACCAAAGGGAGATTTACTCCCCATTGTCCGCGACAAATTGGATTGAGACCCGCGGAGCGGAACAAATGTCCTTTCTTTTTCCGTTTCCCTTCTGGAGAGATTCGATGTGGATGGTCGCGACGACAAGCTCTGTACGCTCTTTGACTTTTTCATCCGTCCACTCTCAGGTCCTTCGTCCTCTACCCGATCGTTCAAAGCCATATAACCCGGGGTAGGTACGTCGACATCCCGAACTTCATCGAAGAACTTATCATGGAAAGTACGTTGGAGCGAAGCAAAGGCATCATGCGCTTCTTGGTTGAAAATTTGGGAGCGGTTTGTAAGTGGGTTCATTGTCTAGTGATGACAGTGAAGTGTTGAACTCCCGTCGGGTTCATAACCTGCATTTCTTGAGGGTGAGAACCCTTGATTCTATTTCCAGTGCACGTAATTTCCCCGCGCACGAATCAACCCAAAATTCCTGTTAACCTTGTCCTGCACCGAATAAATCGTCTTAAAAATTGGATGTACGGTAATGGTACACTTATCCAGTGCAGCCCGAGTTACCCCACCGCGGAAAGCAGGCAAACACTCAATCAATTCAATTAGGTCAATCTCTGCACTTACACAGAACCACACCAGGGATATTTGTCATGCAGGGCAATTGCACTACAAAGTTTGAAGATAATCCTTGCATTTCATTCGGAAGGACCACTCTATCTGGTCCATTTCCAGACGTAGTCAACAGACAGCTGCTAATATCCTACATACATTGGAAATATAACGGCGGGATTTCCATTCTCTTCTTCTCTTGACTCCAAACCAATTCTTGAAAGCCGGTCGATGAGAAGCCAAAACAAGGTAGCTTGCTTTGCCATGTTATTGGGACGAAGAAGGAACAATGCAGACGCAGCAGCACTACCGCTAATTAACTGGAGGCGACTTGAAGGAGGTCTCCGAATAAAACTGATGAAAAATCGACAGGATGAGTTGGAAAAGATTCCTCTCAAATAGAATTTAATCCCTGCATGCTAGACAGATAGAGACAGATGTCCGGCATGCACCAATTACCATTCGATGGTCGAAAACCGGAAAAAAAATGTCGGGTACCGTACCCAGAGGGCTCAGCCGGGAATCGAACCCGGGACCACCCGCACCCTAAGCGGGTATTATACCACTAAACCACTGAGCCGTTTCTATTCACCCCGGTCGAGTTTCAATTATTTAATTATGTCAATTAACCCGCCGGCGCCTCGCGCATGAGGTTGTGATAACTTACTCCTAAACTGGGACATCCAGCGGACGTGAATAGTTGCGGGAAATTTTACTCGTGTTTGTTAGCGAAGGAAGAGAAAATATATACACCCAGCCGCGGGGGAAGTTCCCTCGGGCGATCAGAACCAGAGCAATGAAATTGGTTCGACCGAAAGCGATGCGATGAGTATTTTTAAAGCCATGACCACAACTATGTAGAATCTCATCCGAGACTTGGACATCAGACAAGCGACATCAAGCGGATAGTCAAGAGAGTAGCGACACCGTCGCATTGCACAATGCCGACTTCTCACCCTGAAACCAGAGCAATGAAATTGGTTCGACGGTAAGCGATGCGATGAGTATCTGTAAAGCGAATGAGCGCAACTATGTAGATAGGGTTAACAATGTTGTGCATCGGGCCAACATTCACCAACATGGCGTTCGAAACGAAGGGAGCTCATTCACCTCTTGCAAGCTGATAAACAGGAAGCAATTCGTAACCAACCCCTTCACCACCTTGTGTTGATCTTCGTTGCCACAATAAGAGAAGCTGCAACCCTTTGAAGTTGCAGTGCAGAAGATGGATCTTTCTTTGCCCAAGTGGCATCGATGAACACACTCTCGTCAACGGGCGGGGAGCATCTGGCGCCGAGCACTTGCATCAGGACTTGTCTTGCGACCAGATAACCGGCCTTGTTGCCGATAAGCTTCATGATGCTGAGAATCTGTCGTGGATCTATTCCGCCAGCAGGATGAAAAGGTCAAACCGTGATGGTGAAGAGTCCAACGACGTGGGCAGCGGGTCCTCTGGGTCTTTTATTACTAGGATTATCGCCAGCCCCACTGACGGGACGCTGCACCACTTTGCCCGGAAGATTGGGGTGGTCCACCCCCGGCCCAACTGGGCTTGGGTCGCCAAGCCCGGTGACCTCACGGACATTTTACTCGATGAGGCGGATGGCCCAGGAGAGGGCTTTCGGGCCGGTACGATTCATGGCATGTCATGCACGTCTGTCATGCACGTCATCCTGCACACCTGAACGATGAATGCAAACACCACCCGATCTGAGAATTGAGTTGTTCGAACATCAAAAAGGTAGGTATTGGCTAATTCACGACGACAATGACTTGTCTTCTGAACTGGCACGTTTCCATTGAAGGGATATCAGTCAACTCGTCGCCTCTCGGCGAGCATGGGTGATCAGTCCGGTCGTTTTCGTGGCATCTTTTCATCATTTGTGACGACAGTTTTCATGCTCACGATCACATCTTCTGGCTCTTCAAAGTTCATTATCTCTCTGGTCGTGCACATGGTTGCAGTCTGTCGTGCTGAAAGGCAACCCCGAATGGAACAAAAACATGTCCTTGCAAGTGCTTGGCAAAGTAAAGGGTTGGAGTGATCATGGTGGAATTCAAAAATTTCATAATTCGGAATATGGGTTCTCGATGGCGAATGTTGCCCCAATGTATTAATCACAGGTCTCTTCAGAGTGGGCGGCATTCGCTAGTTTGGTCATATTCTGATAGTGCATCCATGGTACAGCCTGACGACACTATGAAGCCGTACTCAACCTTCCTCCACTTATACTCGTAAGAAAATACACAGCTCAACACTTATAATATCTCAATTATGCCTTGAGGGTCCAAGAGTGGCACCCAGAGGGGGGCGAGGGGATCCCGGTTCGTGATTCTCGTGGAGAACGACCACGGAAGAGGGTGCCACGTACAGCCGAGGAAGAAACAATAACAGGTGGTGGAGGGGAGTGAAGAAAACGAAAACAAGCCGCGGTTCTCGCAGAAAACGAACGTTGAGAAGAGTCGTGGAAACCGATGCGGTTAAGAGGGTAGCATGAACATACGAGAAAAGAAAGGAAAAGAAGGTGGTAAGTATACGTCCAAACGTATTGTTGATGTTGATGCACCCCATTTGACAAGTGGTTGCTGCCTTTTTTGAACGGCATAACACATGGAAGACTTGTCCATGACCGTGAAGAATCGTGAAGGGACGCGGCTGCCTACTCCTGCTTAGCGCCGACCGAAGTCAGAAACCGGATCGGAACAGGGACTAGCGAATTTTGGAGATTGCACATAGGAGGGGCCGGTGCCAACATGTCACGGGTCGACTTTCCGGACGAGGCACTCGTAGCTCACATAGGAGGGGCCGGTGCCAACATGTCACAGGTCGACTTTCCGGACGAGGCACTCGTAGCTTACGCAGCTCAGCAATCACCATCACGGGTCCGGTCCGACTGGGTGCAGAATACTCTCTTTCTACCAACCCATTTGGAATGGAAGAAAAAAAGCGGCTGGGTCCGGTGAGGGCGCGGGTCCGTAGACGCCCCCAGGCGATAAGCCTGGGTTGCCGCATCAGGGATTCCACCTCTCCCCACAGCAACGTCGCATGATTTGGGAACCGCGAAAACTCACCTTACTGTTTCCTTGGTTGAGGTGACGGAGAGCGCGCGAGCCAGGTGTCGGGGTAGCAAGTGCCAAGTCAGGTCAAACAGCGGATGACGAAGGTTGTGCTGGAGACCGCGTTGCAACGTACTGTAGTAACAGCCAAGGTACGAACGGGAGGGTCCACCCGTCGGGAGTTTGATGATGAGGAAGAGAGGGAGGGACCACTAGTGAATGACCACCACACTTTAAGCACTTTTAATGCATTAATTCAATTAAATGCACTCTCAATGATTCACAGTCATTTGACGCACGTGGTTGCAATTTAGGTTGCAGTGTGCCAAAAAAGGGTGGTTGCTCACTTAAGCCCAGTGAGGGCGGACGGCTTAGGAGAGTGGCTTTCGGGCCGGTACAATTCATGGCGACTTAACTCAGTCACAGCGGGAGGAGGCTCTCGCTGCATTCAAAAGTGCAAGAAAGCCTATCCGTTGCCGCCCAGAGAGGACTGGACATTCCAAATGCCATGCACGTCATCCAGTATGATTTGCCAAACCAGATTGACGACTATGTTCACCGAATTGGCCGTCTGTCCCGTGGCAACTTGGGAAAAGCCACATCATTCTGGAATCCGGACAATTTCCCGATTACTTGCGATTTGGTGAAGAAATTGCAAGAGAATAAGCAGCTAGTTCCTGAGTTTTTACGTGGTGGTGGTGGTTCAAATTGTTATCTCGCGCCAATTAGAACTGTAGATGGTGATCATGTACATGAGTAGAATAGCATTGACCAATTTCCGACAACAATATTTGTTCCGTCACTGATGACTTCTAGCCATTTTGTTCCTCCGCCGCATCAAATTCCTTGGTACGAATGAATATCTTCTGTATTGCCTTCCTACCAGATCTGCTCATCGCGGACGTATTGACCGTTAGTCGCACGCGCCAATTGGTGCAGTTCACAGCCATAGGTGGTGTATTGCCGTCCCGCTTACAATGGTGCAGTGTAGACGCAAATATATGTAGAGGTTTTAGCTGCTAGTATCTATTAAGCCGGTGCCCAGCATATACAAAAATAGTAAATGTAGTCACTCATGGATTCTATAATTCTAGGACGATTGTTGGTATCTCGGGTACTCTTTCAGTCTTGTCTATCTTGTGCGTGTATTTTGTAGCCGGCGTCTTGTGGTTTGTGGCAGCCTGAAGAAGTGCCTCATATGATTGCATCAACTTCTGAGCAGCAGCGGAATCCAGGTTGCCGCCGATGATTAGTTTGCTGAAAGCCACTCTTGCATTTTCGACGAGATCGTTTTGTTTTGGGACGACATCCTCTTGTTCTGAATCGGATTCGGTCATTGATTCCTCCGCTGATGTGTCATCCCGGGCTACGACCGTCGATGAACGACTCCTGATGAGCGAGCTTAACGACCGTCCCATTTCTGATATGGTCGATACTGATGGAATCAACGACATCACACCCCCTATTAAATTGAGAGCGACGTCCGATGTATGTTTGAATCTCGTGTGTCTTAGTTCGGGGAGCTCTAGGCTGTTCAAAACAGGCATCGAGGCGTTGCGACCCAGTCTGTTCATATCTTCTGGAGGTGGGCCGTAAAGTTCTATCAGCTGGTCGATGTAGTCGTGGTTTTCCTTGATTCGAGCTCCCATTTCTCGCTCGAATTTATCTACCATTTCGTGTCCATCTCGGGTTTCTGTTAGCTGTATCTTGCCGCCAGCAGTACCCTCCGAGCTGGCCAAGTAGCGTATACCAATTTTGCGGTGGCCGAGGCGGAAGTTGTAAACCATGCGAACGAGTTCCACAAACTCGGGAAGATGGGCATAGTGTTCCCGGAGTTTCGGCGCATGGGTGTCGAGAAAACTGTAGTGGAAAATGAAAATTATTAGGGTGGAATCTTTAATTTAACGTTACGTAAGCAGCATACTGTACCTCAAATAATCGCGCATCTTTGTGGTCATCGCACTACGCGACCTGATCGTCTCTCGATACATCATACTTTCCCCTTTGATACTCAAGATCGCGTCCAAACTGGTAACAGGAAGCATTTGAGCACCAGAAGCGCCGCCAATGCCGTCTATTCCCCAACCATGGGGCCCTTCAATGTAAAGAGCAAAGTACCTAATGGAAAAGAAAACCTATTAGATCGAACTCTTATACAACTGAGATCTAAATTTTCTGACTTACTTGGAGCTGATAATCTTTTTGGAATCAAACTCGTGGAGTGTCCTGAATACCGATGCAGCTAGACGCTTGGTCATTGCCAAGTGCTCTGCAATGACTTTCTCCTTGTCAGGTATGCTATCATCGTCGAGAGCAGTGCAGAGCTCAACAAGTTGCTCCAGGAACGGTGCGCTCTTTTGTTCGAACGTCCACAGCATCTTTGTCCATCCCTTCTCTGTTTGCATCACCCCTGGTAAGATGCTGTTGAACATGAATCGAGAGCCGTCACTTGCTGCATCGTAGTTGCAGACAACGAGAGCATAGACAGAACCGGCGAAAGGCAAGCCTACTTTGCCGGTCAGATGCAACAAGGGAACTTTAAAACATGGCGGAACCGTCATAGATTTGATGTCGCGAGTCTCTTGGAGTACTGGAACATGTTTCCACCGGTATTGGTGGACAGCAACAGTAAACAGGGCGAGTGTGGCTTCGAAAGCTCCGTCGCTATCTGGCTCCAGAGACGCAATTGCGTCCATGGTACTATCCAGCAGGCCATTGAGTTTATCAATATACTGCTCATAGCGCTCTTCGACCTCAGCTGGAGAGAAGAAGTTAAGCCAGGTTGTTGCTTCATCGGCGAGGTCGATGTAAGGCTGCAGCGCGGTCGGAATAAGGTCGAAGCGCGATGTTGGGGGCCATTTCATGAATTGGTATGCCATTTTTTTGACTAGCAAGCAAAAGTTTAAAAGACAATCAGTGTTGGACCGGTAACTCTTGAGTTTTATTGCTAGAGATAAAGTAAGGGGGGGACGACATCTAACTCTATTTATGCACTTGGATTTGTCACAATTTTAAGCGTTGACTTTTGTGAAGAAATGCCCACGTTGGAAAACTAGTGGCAAAACAGACACCCGTAAAAAACAGATGGAGTTTCAGTCCTTGTTCTGCACGTTCATCATGCAACCAAAAGTCAGGATGAATCATTTCGATCTTACTTCTAGAAGCGAGTTTTCGATATCCAACCTTACCAAAGGCATAACCAGTATTTCCAAATCATGGAATATTCACGCTGTTTTGGCGGTACCATATCAATGGGCCTAATGATAGAATTTGGATTTTACTATTTGGGTTTGATCCAATTCCCGCCTTTTTCGGAAAGAAGTCGTCTCGAATGAGGCTGATGCAACCCTTGGAAAATTCTCTTTCAATATCTAAACTACCCCGTCCTCCCAGTTCCGCTCCGACACCGAACTTTGCTCCGCTCTTTTTTTTTTGATTGTAGGCGTTTCTTTCATTTTTCGCCAAGCATGGGCCTCGACGCGGAAACATTCACTTATGTTTTGGGTATCGTTGTCGTCAGGTAACTTATGCTGATGGACTGTGCGACACACGATGGGGGGGCATTACCAAGTTTTATCTTACTGACAAAATTTACAATGGTAGTATGGGGACTTTGTCGACCTTCGAGAGCATTGTCATGGCTTTTCAATTTCTGACTCGAAGCTCCGCAGTATCAATTAAGCTCGTAATGGTGATGACTATATCGGCTTTCTTGTGTAGTGTCATCAACCTTAGCGATTATTTTATTGGTATGTATAACCTGGTTTACAGTGAAACGTTTCCATTTTATAGTATTTAATTCCGATCCCTTTCCACTCTGGTCCTAACAAATAGCGACGGGAGACTGGTGCGTATGATGGATTTTCTAAAACCCTCAAGGATGATTTACGGTGCTAAATTCTGCATTCTTGCTTCCTACCAGCAAGCATCACTACGCCGCCGCGACTTTTTATCAGTGCAGCTTCTATCTCATGGACTGTCTCCTCATTGCGAATGCCAACACCATCCTCAAGGAAGCCAATCACAAGTACAGAAAGATTATTTTGGGAGCTAACGGCGTTCTCCTCGCACTTGGTATTGCCGCGGGAATAACGGATATATATCAGTTCACCTTTCTGCACCCAGTACCGGGAGTTACATGCATCCCCATTCAACCGAAAATTGCATGGCCTCTCTACGGTGCCGCTGAGCTGGCGATCACACTGAATCTTGCTTATTTCTTTGTCCAAGAGCTGAGATACAGTATTGTAAGTTGCCTCTTGCCCCGTATAGTTCAATAATTTATCTGACGTGCCATTGGCATTACTTATTGTAGCACATCATGCGAAAAAACAAGCATGCAGTAACGGACATACTTGCTGAACTCTGCAACGACCACATTGTGCTCAGTCTTCTTTCCGCCATTATTGTTTTCATCTGTCAAACACTGATTGAACAAAACTCCCTTGGTAAGTACGGCAAAGACTCCTTTGGTAAGACGCGTTCAATGGCCCTAATCCTTAATGCTTCCCAGGTACCAACACGTTCTTCCTCATTTTCATCGAGCACCCGATCGCTGTGCGCTTGATTACATACTCGGTTAACCCAGATTTTGCTGAATTGCATACCATTTCAAAAAGTGAAGAAAATCTTGCCAAAAGCGGGAAACCGGCAAGCATCGGAAGTGTCACGACCCGCCCAACGCTTGCTATCGCACGTTCAAGGGAAATCAGGTCTAGGGAGAGAATTGGACCTGAAATTAAAGTTACTGCGGAGAGGGAGGACACGGTTTAAAAACTTTTACTGTACTAGACAATTTCATATATACCTCAGCTCCGCTGAATAGTCAGCGCAACCTTTGGATCCACGTGTGGTTTTATATCTTTTGCTCCAGCAACCAATACTGTCATCAGTCGATGACTAGAATTTGACGGCGCGATCACAAGTACCAGTAAGGTAAAATTCCGGAGAACCACCACGGTAAAATTCCGGAGACCAGTCCAGGTGCATCTTCTGACTGCTTTTGGCTACATGCCATTAATACTTGGATTAGATCGGCCATTAAAGACTGTCGCTCTACTGAGAGAACATCATAGATTAATCTGCTGGTTGAACGACGGAAGTCAGAGGTAGGGACATTAACAATGTCCAACTGTCCATGAAATTCGTGATTTAAACAAGCTTGATGGAAAGTTAGGCTTCTTTGTTGACGTCTTAACGTACTGTTACAGCGCAGACAATATTACACATGGCCAGCATCGTTGGATACGTTTTGTGGCAACGAATACTAAATATTTACTCTAACTCAATCTCTTCGAGAATGTGCGCTCTTTGTGACTTTGGATGCAAACAATCACGCTGCAGGCACAGCATGGCACAGCAATGGCACAGCACTTGATTCGAGAAGGAAGCGCCTAGGGCAAACGTTTGCCGTGATCGGCTTCCTTGTCATGGGCGAATCAGTTCCCGCCTCGGACTCATGGCACCCTTTACCAAAGGGAATTCACGGCGTAGTTACCTCTGCATATGTCCCGGCACCCGCGTTGTCTCTCGGATTATCGACTGAAGACTTGACAGCGGTCACCCTGGGAGGCTCCATCGCTACACAATCTGCGGTGGAGCCCCCGTTGACTGATTACCGAGTGCGCTTAGAACTGGGTGATACGGTTCACCTGCTTGAGGAATGTGGTTCTTGGTATCGGGGATATGTATTCCCAACTTTATCGATGGAGTCTGGTTCCAAACTGGGCATATTCCCCGCTAGTCACATCTACTCTCGTTCCTTGCAGGACAGAGGATTGGCCAATAGCAACCGGGTTTCAGCATCTCTTCCTGAACCAGTCCCAGCTCCGCAACCGGAAATTGAATTGGGAAAAGACAGTAGACCCCGACGGCCGTCCTTGTCTCGAACCCTGACGGCACCACTACCACTTTCAAGCGCTCTCCCGTCCATAGAACTTCTAATGCCAGAGTCTTCTCCTTCTCCTTCACCGAAACGACCTATTCAACCACAGAGACCGCTATCATATACCGCTGGTTATTCCACTAGTCCTCGAAGAGTTGCTCACCCGATCCCTGCTCCTGTACGGACGAATCATGAGACATTGACCGGTCTTAAAGAACCGCTTATTGATGAAATTGCCGCGGTTCTTCGAGACTGGGGCGGAAAACTGAAATCTTATTTGGAGCTGCAAGAATATGAGCGGTTTCAGCGCGTGCATGGAATGTTCAGCATTCTTTTTCAAGGGAGGAGGACGCTCCTGGCTCAAACTCTTGCGCAGGAGGAACTTGTTCGCCTGCGTAGAACATTAATTGCCACCATGGAAGAAGGGAACATGTATCAAAACATGGACTTGCTCGTTCGTCATAGCGAAAAGGGACATTTGCTCTCTGAGAGAAATACCACCATTATAAATGTATACCGTATGCACCTTCAGCTAGCGGAACGTCGTCGGCTAGGCAGAAGTGGATGGCGATCTAAGGATCCGACATCCCCCTCTTCTACATTAGGGAGCTACATTGAATCACCATTGACGAACACAGATCTTGACGTTCTAGCTACCAAGTTTGCTCACTTACTTGTTGAAGTCCGGTCTTGTGACGCTTCAATATGTCTGCCAGGCGAATATGCGGAGCTTAGATTCTCTCTCTACAACTCCAGCGACTGCCGGATGGTGACTGAAGAGTTCATCATGAAAGTTGATAGTAGTGGCAAACCCGTGTCTGACGGTGGATGGGCTTCGAATAAAAGCCGTACATTATTCGCAGAACTCGCCTTTAGGGATTTGACAGATAGTATGTACTTGGTTTGTCGACTCATCCGTGTCGGCAAAATGAACGTTAGCGAGAAAGAAAGCGAAAAGGCAGATAGAGCTGGATACGGTTCCGTCAGCTCGCTGCATACTTCTACTTCTTCTCTCGACATATCGAATGGCAACCCACAAAGCTCGTCCCATTACCGTCGTCCGTTTGGTTGGGCGGTCGCGCTAGTGGGTGACCTGCTGAAGCCTGCCGAAGCAGGCAACGCTGATATGGAAAAAACGAAGGAGATCAGGATGCGGATTTACGTCCCATCCTCCGAATCTCAGTTCACCTCAATTTGTGAGAACATCATCAACCGGTCGGGTGGTTATGAAACGTCTTCACGGGCGGACTCATTGCAGGTGACCTTGAGAGTCTTTCGAGGCGATTTGAAGGCAGTGACCCGGACATATCCGGCCCTTCTTCCACAAGCGACTGTTACTCCACGTAATGGATTTTATGATGTGATTCTTCCTGGCGTGGTGCGCAATTCAATGTATTTGACCCTTGTGTCTGGGGAGTTCATTCAGAGCCGAAAACCCTCTATCCGAAATATTCAAGTCACTGTCCAAGTTCGGCTGACAAATGGGAATCCCGTGGAAGATTGCATTTCATGCGGAGTGGGAGAAGGGAAGAGGACCTACTACGACTCGATTGTTTTCTACCACAATACGACACCGAAATGGACCGAGACAATCCGTATTGACCTACCAACCGAGCTGTTTGAAAAGGCGCATGTCTTTTTTACATTTCGCCATTGCTCTTCCTCCGACAAAGGCGACGGTAAAGATAGAGGAGAGCGCAACTTCGCATTTGCTTTCTTACCCCTCCTACGAGGAAACCACATGGTCATCTCCGATTCAACTCACTCCTTGAATCTGTACAAGTATGACAAACGTGTCGCCGTCTCATCTGTCTACCTCACGTATCCAGCCGGGGCGAACCTTCTCGTGCCCGCCAAGCAGGCACCGTCGTCGTTCGACGCTTTGGCAACGGCTGCAGACGCAATGTCGAAGCTCCCGATGCTCAAAGATTCGGTTACAATCCGTACGCAGTTATGCTCCACCCAGCTAACCCAAAATGTGTCACTCCACAACTTCCTGCATTGGCGACAAGGCCACCAGCCAGTCGAGACCGTACTGCGGGAATTCATCTTGATTGGTGAACTGGAAATCATCATGTTTCTCCCTGCCATTCTGGATTCGTTGTTTTCCATACTCGATGCTGTGGCGGATGGTTCTCTCGGCGTATCCTCCCAGTCAGTAGATGATCTAGTGTTTTCCGCGCTAGTGTTCATTTTGGGAATTGTTGTAGATAAACGCTTCACTAATCATCGAGCCGCACTTGACACCTATATCAGTTCCACGTTCAGCAGTGAAGGAGCTTGGGAGATTTTGTTGAGAGGATTCGAGAGACTCATCAAACATCCCCAAGATAGCGGAAAAGGCAAAGAATTGAGAAGTGCGATCAAAGTTTGGAGCTATCTGTTGCGATTCGCAATCCGGAGCAATGTCATCAGCACCATCAAGGCGAGGAAATCTCACTCCCAAGGCTCGGGGGAAATAGCGAACAACCAAGGGGATTTGGTATCCGGTGGTAGAGTAGCTGCCCCTACGTCGGAATTCATCCAATCTATCACTTCGCTCTTCAACGCTATCAACCAAATGATGACACTTTCTGCCCCTGAGCACATAATTGGATCACAAACTTTGACGCTCCAGCACTTTGCGAGTCTTTTACCTGACCTTGTTCAAGTCTTCCCGCCACCTCACCTAGTGAATATCGCTGCAACATTTGTCGACAGTGTGCGCAGCAATCGACCAAAGCTTAACGGATACAAATTACTGTTTGTGAAGGAGCTGGTAAAGGGATTTTTGTTTGCTGATGACAGAAGCCGAGGTGTGGTGGTAAATTGTGTATGCCGATGGGTAGGCGAGTGGATTAGAGAATGGTTGAGCTATGCCCCGCGCACATTTGACGATATCCCCCCGACGCTGGACCTCGCAAAGGACTCCAAAATTAGTGGAGAGAGGGAAAATCTCAAATTCTGCTTAGATGTTGTCGCAGAGGTGGTCGATCGCTTACAACGATTGATGGAAAAAAGGGAGAGAGAAAAAGACAAAATGAAAGGGGCGCATCAACATGAGAAAGTCGCGGATGGTACCTCGACACAGAGCGAAGCTACATTGATGTGTGTCGCCGACCTTCTCCCTAAGCTTCTAGAGGTGCATTTGACTCTTGTGTCTGAATTGGGAGTCTCTACCGGCGGAGACGAACGTTATGAGCACAGAAGAAGAGCTGATACTGGCGTGAAGGACATTAATACCGAGAAACAAATCCTTCCGCAGTCATTAGAGTTGGCCCAGCTCGATGCTATTATTTTGGCCATCGTTCATCTGTTGCGGGAAGATCAGATGCAATCTTTCCTGGTAAAGCAAGCAGCGGGTAGTGGACCAAGAGGAACTGTACGAAGCCTGTATACACTCTGCGAAGTCTTTGGGCATATGATTGGGGAGCAGTCGTTCCCTGTTTCATGGGTCAGTATGAATATGATCGCACATCGGGTCACCACGAAGGTACTTCGCCCCGTGAGTGAGCTCATGCGAGCGGAGTTTGTTGGCGGGAAGGATGAAGACGATGGGTCTACAGGCAAACGGGCAAGCGTTGCCTTCAGCATAAGCGGAAGTGAGCTGTCGAATGCAGAGATCCGCAGCGGAGCCCGAACGTTTTATACTGCTGCCACGGCTTACGGAACTGCGGTTAATGGCGAGCATAGCACGATTTTAGACGAATCAGGCACACAAGCCTGGCTTCACCGTATTTGGGACGGGTATTTCCGTGTGCTTCTTCAACTACTTAATTCCCGCTGGCTGCAAATTGAGCGATTTGAACCGCAGCAAGCTCGAGCAGCACATAAACTTTCTGCGGATGTTCGGGGAGAAGGTGGGGAAGTGCTGCGGACCATGTGGGAATATCTTGGCTCCACATCACGGGGAAAAACACTGCAAGCAGGTTTCATTCCCGCCCTGGTTGGACCATTCTTGCAGCTCACGGCGTCTCCACATCCAGTCCTTCGCAGTGCTGCAGTCGAGTTGCTCTTCAACACTATTGAACCCGAATTCGAACAAGTAGGGCATTTTGGAAGAGTTGAGGTGGAATGCATTGAGCGTCTTCATCGCCTCATTGCGCAGGAAAGGCTTGGTGATGACGCCTATCGATCATTCATAGTTGATGCTCTTGAACGACGATTTGCCACCAGGGCGCTGCTTACTGGAGATGAAGATGACCACCACAGCCGGGAGCTGACTACTCAGGGGCAAGCGTTCATCGGCAGCCTTGATAAATTTTTGGGGCTTTCTCTGCGCATTCGAGATCTACCATCGGGAGAACAGTCTCACGATGAGGCAGTTGAGACTGTCGTCAAAATGTTGAGGTTCTTGCGATCCATCGGTCGACGGAATATCTATGTGGAATATGTTCATCGACTGTTCGACTTCCATATGGAAACCAATGATGTTGTAGAGGCAGCGTTGGCGCTGAAGCTTCATGGCGACCTCTTGGAATGGCGGAGTGACGCGCTTTTGGAACCTTTGCCTGCATACGGGTTCCCTGATTGGCAAACGGAATTCGAGAGGAAGGAGGCCATTTACTTGCGCTGTGTAGACCTTCTAGAAACTGGCCAAACTTGGGAGCGTGCTCTCGAGCTTTGCAGAGAATTAGCAGGAGAATACGAGCGAAAGGCATATTCATTCAGCAAGCTTGCAAACATCCTCCGTCGTCAGGCAGATCTATGTGCTGGTATAGCAGCTACATCTCGCTGCCAGCCTGAATACTATCGCGTAGGATTCTATGGTCGGGATTGTCCGCCATTACTACGGAATAAGCAATTTATATACCGCGGAGGTGAATGGGAAAAACTCGGGTCTTTCTGCGAGCGCCTTTTGCGAAAGCATGTGGGTGGCAAACTAGCTAAAAGTAATGCATATCCGCCACCTCCTGAAGTCAAGGATGGAGATGGATTATGGTTGCAGGTCACAGGCGTGAAACCAATTATTGACTGGAGAGCATGGAGGACGGGGAAAGATAGTGGGGCGTTTGGCGCCATTCAATGGGAGAGGCCCTCTAGTACCCCAGATAATAGATACGGATTCGACGTGGATGACGGGGACGATGCGGATTTGCTTCTTATCGAACCGGACCTGAGTCCATATTCAGCCACGCAACGCGGATCGGCGGTCGGAGGAAATATTTTAGGTGCCTTGGAGCGAGCTGATGAGCGCGTTAAATCATACTACGAGGCAAATGAGGTTAATGTATTTGCCTTCTCACGACCGGTACGGAAGTCTTTACCAGCAGAGTCCACTCTGCCGGCTAATGATGGCGCAAGAGAGTTCCTGGAGTTATGGACGGAGAAGACTGTATTCCTCACAGATGATCGATTCCCTGGCCTCAGCAGGCGATGTGAAGTGGTGAGAGTTGAGAGCTATGAACTTTCGCCAGTGGAGAACGCCATTATCGCCGTGCGTGGGAAGAATAAGCAGCTTCAGGAACTGGAAAAGAAGTTTGCCCCATTTGCGCAACTGGGACTCCCTCGTCCAAGCTCAGATCTGGGCGCCAGGGGGTCGTATTTACCAGTCCAACGGCCGGATCGAGCATCAAGCTCGTCCGCAGCCGAGATCCCAAACGTAAATCCGTTCACAATGGCGCTCAATGGTGCTGTTGATGCTCCGGTCAATGGTGGAATTCCCATGTACAAACGAGCGTTTTTGAGCACGGAGTATCGAAGTGAAGCCGAGAAGAATGGGCGGGAGATGCTTGTCAATATGTTGGAGAGAGCAATTGAAGAACAAGTGCGTTGAAGCAGCTCTACCATCCCGGTGTAGGCAGATAACCCTAACCGTGTTTCGCTTTTGCTCTGCAGGTTGAAATCATCCATCGCTGCTTGATGGTCCACGACCATATCGTGCCGGAACAGATGAGACCATTACACGAGGAGCTCATCACCTGTAAGAAACTTGCTGTACCGATCTGCCATAGCCCTGCTTAACATATTATTTTGGGCTATAAACAGTCTTCCACAAGAACTTTGCAGATGACATTGCGAGACTCAACCTGCCCTCACTGCGACATGCTCGCCCGTCAGGGCAGGGTCTGCGCAGGAGTGAGAGTGTGTCGCCTACAGTCACGTCATCTGGATCATCCGCTTCAGGAGATGTGAGGACAAATGCAACTGCAAATCCTGCTCCAACAACGACTACGACGTCACGAATGAGTTCCAGTCAGCGGTCTTCCGTTATACTTGGCTTGCGCCATTCCCTATCGACGGCTGATGGTAGTGGGTCAGTGAGCGCGGCAGTAGGCACAGGAGATGGGGAGTCTGTCACCGCAGACAGCCGTGGCAGAAAGGATCGGTTTGGGACAATCTTAAATAGGTTCTTATAGTATAGATAGTAGTCGTAAGGGTTTTTTTGTAAATTTTTCTAATATATTAGTCAAGTTATATATAATTATACTTATTATATAATTACATATATTAAACTAACTTAATGTTTTAGAAAAAGAAAGCAAACACCGCTGAGGTGACGACGGCCGTGGCAGCACTGGCAGCTGCTGCAACATGGAAGGAAGACTTGGGAGCTTTCGTGCCGCGGTTGCGGCGTTTACGACGGCGGGTGGCCGGGGTCACAGTGGGACGGCCTGGACAGGTGGAAAGAACGCAAATTATGCTGATGCGGCGACCGCACCCACAGCACTAGCCAGTGCTAGATGGACAGAGGCGGGGCTATGGGCGTTGAGGGCGGGGGCGCCGGTTCAGGCATAACAGGCGCCGGGGTGTCATGAACTGTTTCATCGATGCGACATCGATACCACATCTCTCTGAATTCCTTTAACTGCTATTATTCTCACCGGGCTTGATTCAACATTCTATGGATTGGAATTGACCTCGGCATTTATAGATCTGATCGACCTGGTAAATCGAGTGGTGGAGCTGGGTCAGCGAAAGGAGGTGGTGCCCCGAGTGCATCGTGCAGCGAGTCCAGCGGGTGCATCGACTGGTGCATCGGCTCTTTCTACGGCGGGTGGCCGGGGTCACAGTGACACGGCCTGGATAGGGGGAAAGAACGAAAATAGCGCAGATGCGGCGACCGCATCGACAGCACTAGCAAGTGCAACTGTCGTGAGAGGGACCGCGGTGACGGGGTGGCGCAGCTGGTGCGTCGGCAGCCAGGGCGATGGGCGGAGGGACCGCTGCAACGAGAGCAAGTGCGGTTTCAGGGATGTATAGCTCGGCCGAGGGAGCGACGTCAGGATTAGAGGTTTCAGCGATATAAGGCTCGGTTGAGGTAGCGCCGGTTTCAGAGATCTGAGCGTCGGGCGGCGGCGGTTTCGACGTTTTCTTAGAGTGGTGGGAGTGACGGCAGGGTCCCTCATCCTGGCCGACCCCGCCTTCCTCACGGATCCAGAGCCAGCGAGAAGAGGAAGAGGTGCACGGGCGCAGGCGCAGATGTTGCTTGGTTCACAACAGAAGCCTTCTCCATGTTGTGTGCCTCGATGCCCTACCTTCAACGCTTCCAATATATCGTCTTTACAGTGTCTGAGCCCATCTCCAACTGTCTATAAAAGCAACGTGCCTGGCCAGAATCCCCCCCTCCAAACAGCTCCAGATATGCCTGATTACATACAATAAAAACATACACTAACTTATTATAGGAGGAAAGCAAATACTGCAGAAGCGGCGGCAGCACCGACAGCACTAGCAAAAGGCAACTGTCGCAAGAGGGACCGCGGCGACGGGTGGCGGTGTGGGCGTTGGGGGAGCGGCCGCGGTTTCACGGCTCGCCGGCGCCGGAGGAGCGGCGCCAGGTTGAGAGGTTTCAAGGATGGGCAGCTCGACCGGCGGAGCGGCGCCAGGTTGAGGTATATTAGGCCCGGCCGAGGGACCGGCGCCGGTTTCAGGGATCTGACAGTCGGGCGGCGGCGGTTTCGACGTTTACTTGGAGTGGTGGGAGTGACGGCAGGGTCCCCATCCTGACCGACCCCGCCTTCCTCACGGATCCAGAGTCAGCGTCCGAATTGGATTGGTTCACAACAGAAGCCTTCTCCATGTTGTGTGACTCGATGCCCTACGTTCAACGCTTCCAACCAAAGCCTGTTCGACCAGACGGTGCCCTAGCCGACTTCATTGCGCAAACTGCTTCAGAGTCGAATACTGGGGAGGGTGTGCAGAGAGAAGAGCTGGCGTTTCTTCTGCTCCTTAGGCAGAAGCAGATTGTGTGTGTGTGGGAAAGTTGGGTGAGAGGGAAACCACCTCCTTCGTTCCTTTTATACCAATTTCTTACGTGATATTTAATTAAATACTTGATATAACTTAATTTAGATAAATAAAAATGGCACGTGACGACCTTACAAGTATTCCCACCAGTCATGGATGGACCATCCCGTTCCTTACTTGTCTGTTACACCTTGTAACTCCGGTCTCCAGCACGACCTCCGTCATCCGCTGTTTGACCTGAGAAAGTGCCCCGACACCTGGCTCGCGCAGCCGCTCTCCATCTCGTCAGAGAAACACGAAGGTACGTTTTTGTGGTTCCCAAATCGTACACGATATTGCTGTGGGGAGAGGTGGGTTCCCTCAGGCCGCGCGATACTCGTGATTGCGGGTTGGTCTGCCTTTCGGTATACCCAGGGCGTGCTTCACCGGACCCAGCCGCTCTTTTTCCATTCCACATGGATTGGTGGATTGGTGGAAACAGAGTTTCTGCGCCCAACCGGTGTGCAGGACTTGCAGCGGTCATTGCTGAGCTGTGGGAGCTTTGAGTGCCTCGTACATGCGGTCTGCGACCCGTGACAGGTTGGCATCAGCCCTTCCTATGCGCAATTTCCACCTTCGCTAGTCCCTACGCCGGCGGTTTTCTGACTTCGGTCGGCGCTAAGCAGAGCAGGCAGCCTTGTCCCTTTACGATTCTAGCATCCGTGGACGGAAGGTCCATGTGTATATTCGTGTAGAAGAGGCAGCAGCTTACATCAGTCGTCAAATAGGGTGCATCAACACAACTTTCGAATGTATACTTACCACCCTTTCTCCCTTTCTCTTTCTCGTTTGTGCTTCTACCCGCCTACGTCATCGTCTTTAACGATGTTACCCGACATTCGCTTTCTGCGAGACCCACGCGCGCTTTCCGTCCCCTCGCGTTTCCCCCAATCTCGTCACCATTACCGTTCGCCAAAATGACCCTTCGTCTGGTGTTTAAACTGGCTCGCGCGTCCTGCCCCGACATCTGGCTCGCGCATTTGCTCTCCGTCGCGTCAGGCAACAAAACAGTAAGGTGCGTTTCGTGGTTCCCAATCATACACGACGTTGCTGTGGGGAGAGGTGGTTCCCTTGGGCTCGCGCGATACCCCGGGTTTAGGGGTTGAATTTATGGTCTACCTGTCGGTGGACCCTGTGCGTTCGTTACTGGACCAGCCGCTCTTTTTCTTCCATGGATTGGTAGAAAGAGAGTTTCTGCGACTCGTCGGTTACTGGACCTGCGATGGTGATTGCTGAGTTGCGCGAACTTGAGTGCCTCGTCAGCGTGGTCTTTGACCCGTGACAAGTTGGCACCAGTTCCTTCTAGAGTGCTTCGTACGCGTCAACCCGTACCAAGCTACTCCAACTCCTCTGTGCGGTCTCCCAATTTCGTTAGTCCCTGGCCGGTGGGGGATCTGACTTTGGTCGGCGCTAGGAAGAGCAGGCAGCCTTGTCCCTTTACGATTCTACCGTGTCCCTGGACGAATTGTTCAGCGGGTCATTTATTTGACATTCTCCGCATCGAAGAGGCAGCAACTAGTCGTCGAATGGGGTGCATCAACATCAATATTATTTTCGGATGTATACTTACCACTTTTTTTCTTTTCTTCCTCGTATGTTCATCCTCCACCCTCTTCCGTCACCGTCTTCAACGACTTTTTTTCGGCGTTCGTTCTCTGCGAGATCCGCAAACCGCGAACAACCCCCTGCGACACTCTTGTACCCTCAAGGCTTAATTTAGATATTATAACATAATGTTAAGCTGTTGTATTTTCTTACGAATATAAGGGGATGAAGGTGGAATACGGCTTCTTAGTGTCGTCAAGCTGTACCCAGGGATGCATTATCAGAATATGACCAAGCTGCCCACTCTGAAGAGACCTGTGATTGCTTGACTGACAGATTGATTTCCGTAATCAAACTGCCCCAGATTGCAAGGCTAGTGTTAGCCATTGGAATGATGCAGGCGTTGGCAAATAATTTCATTGATAACGATCACAATATCAGCCAGAATAGGAAGCACTCTCCTCCCTTCGTATGCCAGTCCTAACCCCAACCCACCACCTTGCCCTACTAGCTTTCTCAAGGAATCCGACTTTCAGGCTATTCAAAGACATGATTGGATCACAGCCGATCTTGTAGACACTACTAGAAAATATCAAGAGTTCACATCTGTCGGGCGTGCAAAGAACACAAAAGCGTCGGTGATACAAGTGTTCAGATCTCCATGAAGAACTGAACACGAGACGGGGAAATTGCTACATGGGCAGCGCACCAGACGATGTAGCCGGGATTATCCTAAAGGTGGTCATTAAAATTCAAAGATCAGTAATTTTGTACATTACTTGATAATACCTCCGAGAGAGCATCTCGCATCCCAAAAGAGCACATATTGCCCTTGCTGATATCATATTCCAAGTCATCTTAAATCCGTTAGAGTGTAGCAAAATGCTGAAAGACCAAGTCACGAGGGAGCAGATCATTGCGCAGATCGGGGGAATCGGTGCAACATTCGCAATCGAACACCCATATTCCACAAAGAATGTTCTGTCCCGCGAATTATGGAATTTTTTGAATTCCACCATGATCACTGCAACCGTTTACTCTGCCAAGAACTTGCCAACGACATGTTTTTATTCCGTTCGGGGTTGCCTTCAGCACGAGAGACTGTAACCATGTGCAAGATCAGAGAGATAATGAATTTGAAGAGCCAGAAGATGTGATCGTGGGCATGAAATCTGTCGTCACAAATGATGAAAAAATGCCTCGAAAACGACCGGACTGATCACCCATGCTCGCCGAGAGGTGACGAGTTGACTGATATCGGCGCTAACTGAGATGGCTAATTGTTGAGGATAAAAAGGGCGTTGGAGTTCTCCTCCCTCCTCTCTATTCAGCGTCCGGTCTCCCTTACTCACGAAGCACCTCATCAAATTTATCCCAGCAACTATGAAGATCACCCTTCTCTCTTTGGCTTTTGCGGCCTCGGCCATAGCAGTGCCAGTCCAACCTAGCTCTAGCGCTAGCATGGCCCCGGAGGCGGTCTCCAGCATTCCTATATTCCGTCATCCCAAGAATGCTACAAAGCTCGAGAGGATTGTCGCCAACAAGGACTTTAGCATTCAGAAATATTCTGCGCTCACCTCTGGTTTGCATGCACGCGGTCCGATTTTGACAAACGACGCAAACGAGTTGTACTATGGGCCTGTAACCATCGGATCCCAAACGTTCCAGGTTGATTTGGACACAGGCTCCTCCGATTGTATGTGGACCATCGGGATTTCAAAAGGCTCTTTAGCTGATCAGAATGAGTTCTTCTAGTTTGGCTTCGCGGAGCAAACTGCCAGTCAAGTGATGGCTCCTGCGGCAATGGCCAGCCCGCGGTTAGCACGCGCGAGTTCAAAGATACAGGTTCCCAGTTCCAAGACTCTTGTAGGTTCAATTGAAAACAAAGCTAGAATTGCTGGGGCGGATCATTCTAACTATTTTACATCAAGACGGCTCTGGCTCTGCAGACGGCGAAATCTACCAAGGCACTTACACACTCGGTGGCGTGACCGCCAAGAATGCGTATTTTGGTGTATCGACGAACGAGCAAGGATTTACCGATCCCGCAGACGGTCTTCTTGGATTAGGATTTGCGGCCATCAGCAACATTGCTTCCGCCACCAACGGTCGGGCCCCGATTGATGAACTGGGATTGAAGTCGTTCGGCTTTTACCTCAGCAACGCCAATGACGGAGACCAGGGACTTGTTACTCTGCAGGGAGCTGACAGTTCAAAGTACACGGGAGGATTCAACTATGGTGAGACTATACACATAACGGCATTCGCCCTCTGCGTGTGAAATCTCATCCATCTTGCAGTACCCTTGAACTCTCGTACCTACTGGCAGTATTCTCTCAGTGGTGGCTCTGTCCAAGTCGGCAACACCAAAACTGCGTTCTCAATCCGAAACGCCATCGCCGACACTGGTACAACCCTCATTATCATCGGTGACAAGGAAGCAAGTGCAATCGCCAGAGCTGTCGGCGCCGACTCTAACGGAAATATTTCGTGTTCCGTCGCCAGAACCGGTCCTAAAGTGGTCTTTAACATCAACGGCGTGGCTTACGCTATCCCACCTAGCGTCTATGTGTTTGAGGACCAGGGACAGTGCATCCTGGGCATCCAGGGCGGTGCAGCTCAAGCTGGCGTCGCAATCTTTGGAGACGTTTTCATTAGACAGTATTACACCTTATTTGATGTTGCTAACAGCCGTGTTGGATTTGCTCTAGCTAATCACAACTAGACTCTAGATACACCATAGAATGACATGCTACCGTCGCTGGGCGACGAAAAGATGTAGTTAGAGTAGGTAGACTAGTTCAATTCAATATACAATTCTTGGATAGCTGATATATTCGACAAGTCCTTTATACATAATCATACTATTCCAATATAATTACATATAATAAAAACAAACACTAACTTCTCAAAGGAAGAAAGCAAATACCGCAGAAGCGGCGGCAGCACCGACAGCGCTAGCAACAGCACTAGCAAAGGCAACTGTTGTAACAGGGACCGCGGCGACGGGTGGCGCAGCTGGTGCGTCGGGAGCCGGGGCGATGGGCGGAGGTGCAGGGAATTCAACCTCCGCCGCGCCAGCGGCATCAGGGTCAACGGTTTCAGGGATCGCCGCGATGAGAGCTGGCGCGGTTTCAGGTATCGGAGAGTTGGGCGGCGGCGTGTGGCGCTCCTGCGCCACGTTCGTTGTGGCTTGGCTGATAGCCGTGTCGCCCGAGTTGTTAAATCTGTTTCCGTTGATAACGTTTCGATTTTGGATATTCACGGGAGTCTGCCGTGACCGGCGGCAGAGCGTAATTAGCAATTCTTTCTGAATTGCATCGTGCCGTTCTAAAAGTGTTGACGCGCGGGCGCGCTCGGCGTCCTTGCGGGAGTCGTCTCCCAAAATTTTTGTCAATGCACCCATCCACGCCCGATTGGGCTGAGGGTATTCCTTGCCCACGTCAGTGGCAAAGGAGGAGACCGTCCATCTTTGCGGTCTTCGTCTAAAGAACCGGTCTACGCGGCGTTGCTTCTGGGCTTTCGTCAAAGTCATTGTATGTTGGATATTTGGTAACAAATCAAATAGCTGGACAATAAGCGGCGGACATCGCGAGACCTCCTCTATTTAAAGTCCTTAAAAGTCCTGTATAAAATTAATTATTCCATATTTGTCTATATTACACATCACGTGAGCAATTACTCTCTCCATGGCTGTGCTGGGTGATTTTTGGCACAGCAGGCAATTAATTAAATTATTATTAATTGCTATTAATTGCCTGCTGTGCCATAAATCACCCAGCACAGCCATGGAGAGAGTAATTGCTCACGTGATATGTAATATAACTTAATTGGGATAAATTGTATATTATTGGCACAGTCATAGAGAGCATTGTTAGTAATATTGGGACACTAAATTTTCTTCCGGCTATTTAAGGACGCCTTCAACGCGCGTTCCCTTTCCTCCCATTCACACCAATGTGGTGCCATCACCACATTCGCAACACCGTTCTCCACCACAACCTTCGTCTGCGGGTTGACCTGACTTGGCACTTGCTGCCGGCCCCGACTCGTGGGTTGCGCGCTCTTCTTCGCGTCAAGGAGACAGTAAGGTGAGTTTTCATGGTTTCGAAAGTATACGACGTTGCTGTGGGGAGAGGAGGGATCCCTCAAGCGCCACGATAACCGTGCAATGGGTTCAACTTTAGGTCTACCTTTCGGTAGACCCTGTGCGCGCTTGACCGCGACCCAGCCGCTCTTTTTCTTCCATTCCAAATGGGTTGGTTGGAAAAAGAGTATTCTGCACCAGTTCGGAGGCTGGACTGGCGGTGATTGCAAATCTTCGCTGGTCCCTACACCGATCCGGTTTCTGACTTTGGTCGGCGCTAAGCAGGAGCAGGCACCCTTATTCCCTTCACGATTCTCACGCGCCGTGGACGAACAGTCCATGTGAATACGTACAAAAGAGGCAGCAACTTCTATAGTAGTGTCAAATGGGTGCATCAACATACTTTTCGGATGCATGCTGACCATCTTTTTTCCTTCCTTTTTTCGTATGTTCATGCTCTACCCTCTTACGGCATCGGCTTCAATGATTTTCGGCCTTCGTTGTCACGAGAAACGCGGCTTGTTTTCTTCACCTTTGACCTTGATTTATCTTCTCCCACCTTTTATCGCTTCTTCCTCGGCTGTTCATGGCGCCCTCTTCCATCACCTTCAACGATTTTTCTCGGCGGTCGTTTCCTTTGAGACCCTCGCGCGTTTTCCTTTTCCTCGGGTTCCGCCAACCTCCTCATCACCGTCAACAAAACAACCTCCAACATCCGCTGTTTGAGTTAATACTGGCCCTTCGTCGCCGGGCGCGACAGAATTAATTGAATATCCGAAACCGGCAAGTGATTAACGGATACCGAAATCACTCAAGAATAGTGGCGAAGCGACAATTTCCTATCCTTAATTTAGATATTGTAACCAAGTGTCAACCTGTGTACTGTCTTACGAATATAAATGCATAAGATAGGACTTTTTCGTGAATGCTGGACACTCTGAAGGACCTGTGTTTGATTGGTACATTGATTTCCCTGCTTGAGATACCCAGTTTTTTAAGACTGCGACACATACAGACAGTTTCCGTTTCCGGTCATGTTAGCCATCGAAATGATCGTGGCATTGATACCTTCATCAATCGGCGTCGTATGGGCTAGACTAGTAAGTGCTCCCCGAAACTTCCCAACCTACCTACCAACTTTCTCAAGCAATCCGACCTCCAGCTTGGCAAATTTGTTCAACGGCATGATTGGATCACAGCCGATCTTAAGAAACTCCTAGGAAGCATGCGCAAAGTGGAAGAGATCGTAATTACACACGAAAGCGTCAATGATACTTGTGTTCAGATCTCCATGAAAAAACAAGGCTCTGCTGAACACGAGACGGGTAAATGCTGCATGGGGAGCGAGTGTGCGCGGGCGATGTATGGATCTAGCCGGTATTATTCCACAGGGTGGTTAATTGTTCGCTGTGCCAAAAATAACCGGCACAGCCATAAAGAGAGTAATCACTCACGCGATACTAATTCACTACTCGTATCGAAGTGTCCATCTGACAAATGTTTCTGCTGTAATCCCGTTATCTGTAAGATCAAATATTCAATACCAGTTTTAGTTAACGACAGACGACATCTTGCTGGTGGAACCGCGCAACGCGGTTTTTTGAACAACTGGCTCAAGTGGCTCCAACATTTCCTTTGCCACTAAAGTTCCAGCGGAAAATACTCTACCAACCAGGGTTTGGACAGAACTCTTGACCAAAATTCTGAGTGAACCACACCGCACAAACGCCGAAAAAAACCGTGCCCTGCGACTTTCGAAAGTGCACGACGTCATGCAGAAAGACATTATTTTCAGCCTCTGCCGAACAGTCTAGTGCAACTCCGAGCAGACTATACTGTCAGCGGAGAAATCTATTATAATAGGGGCGACGCGTCTCTTGCCAAGCCACACGCTAAACAAGCCACACATTTTCCCTGAACTAAACCACACACTTGCCTGGACAAGCCACACACTTTCCCTGAACTAAACCACACTCTTCCCCTGGACTGAGTCCCTGACGCAAGCCACACGCTTACCCTGAACTAAACCACATTCTATCCCTTGGACTAAACCACACTCTTTCCTTGGGCTAAACCACACGCCTAATCAGCTCGTAGGCCATAACCCCCAAGGACCACGCTCACAATGACATGGTCTTTTTTAAAATCATTGGACATTGGTGGATTAAGTACAATAAAAAACAACACGATGCACTACTCTTCAGTCATCAAGTTGAAGCCTGCCAAAGCATTGATCGGATTAGTCGAGATTCAGGTAAACCACAACTTCGCTCAGTTGACATGATACTCACAGTGCGGCTACGCCGCGCATGATCCAGTGCTTTTCTGGTTTATCAGTGGGCAATCTGATTCCAATAACAAAATTTGTGGAATGCCCAGTAGTGGATAGAACTCCTCGTCTGGCGCTCGTCTTGTATACCGGACAATCGTAGGTTGCTTTTACCTGTCTGTCGGACACTCTGCATGGCTTGAACCATATTACGGGGAGCGGATCGTAAAGCACCTTGGGGAAAGATTCTGCGATGAATCCCTTCTCTCGGTTCCATCTTGCACCCTCCAGGAATAATCCGCTAACATAAACTCCGTTGTCAGCGGCCGCAGTGATATCGGACGGGTTGGATGGTAATACGTCAAAATCCAAGCCCAGCTCATCGATAGGTATTGTATACTTTCGTGCATAATTTTGGAGCGTTGCTATGTAGAAGAGGGGACAAGTACATTAGTGTGTGAAGGCGTGAAAATGATTCGCTACTAGTATCATCTTACCTGTAATAAAGGACTGGGTAAAGAAGAACCCAGACATCCAAAAGACTTTTGGACTCCCATGCTCAAACCAATCTCGAAAGAACTTTATTCTCGCCACGAGGTCGTTGATGTACGCTCCAAGTGGTTTCAAACTTGGATAACTTTTCGCCGCCCACATTGCGGGTATTCTGCCGACCAGAATACTCTTACAGACTTCCTCAAGTTCCGCACTCATCACTACCAAGCCGCGAATCGCTTTCTGAACGTTCACCAAGCTGACCAGTACAACTTGGATGAGCCGATTGAACCGTATCATTTCCTGTATCAGGACGGTGTTCATGCTTTCATTGTAAGTGACAGGATATTTCTTTACGGCCTCATCGATATTGAAGACGGACGGTATTCGTGACAAGATATCGGTTGCAACTTCTATGAGCACCTCGTCACTGGTTTTCTGTCCACCACCTCCAGCCACGCTGCGCTCCTGGGTAGCGACAACACTCTCAAATAAACTTCTTGTTTCCGCAAGCTGGCGGGCAATATCACCATTGTCGTGTATGCCAAAAATCTCGGGGCTCTGGTTAAGCGGCAATGACCGAATATACTCCAGGTAATTTTCGTATGTGCCCTTGACAGGCGCATAGTAGGTTCCAGACGGAGAAAACCGGTAATTGTTATCCTCCACTATAGCTGGACAATAAAAGGTCGTCAATATGTTCATCAATGTCCGCCGATCCCAGTCGTCCGTTACACGTCCACCGTAATTGCATTCCCCGGTAAGGTAGATTAAAGCTTTGAAGGGTATTTCAGAGTATTCGTTCAAGAACATTTGGAGCTGACGCATGCTGATGCCTATAAACCGAACATTCAAGAGTTAGCGACATAGCAAATCGGGCCTTGATACAACACGATACATACGGAGATCCGAGTCATTAAACTCGTATGGAATGTTCCAACCCAACGGGCCAAAGTTCCTTCTCTCTTGAACCACACCATGGAATGTGCACAATCCGAAGAGCAGCTTTTCCCACTCATTTGATTTTACGGACCCAGCGAAAAACTTTTCATCACTGATGGGGTCGCTCAAGTAACTTTTAAGGAGGTTGGCTTTTAGCCCCTTTGGAGGTTCATTCGTCATTTTTACGCCTCTATAGTGCATGGATTAATGTCCGATATCGTAGCATGTCGGTTTAGTGGTGCTTACCCTTGCAGAATGCTAGCCGGAAACTTTGGGCTCGGGTAAGAAGTCAACCAAAGTCGGAAATCTTTGTGAACGGAGACAGCCTCGGTGCTAATATCATCCACAATTTTTTCAAGGGTGGGAAGCCAGCTGACAGCCAGATGGCAGTTCTGGAGAACAACCCAGGTTCCACCTCTTTGAGCTTCTTTCACCATTGCTGCGGCGATTGGACCCTGACCTTGACCTAAGGAGATTGATTGACATTTGGTGCCCGCAAAGCCTTTATCTTCTGCAAACTTCAGAAGCCTGCACCAATATTATCAATGCCTGTTTGTGTCCAAGTACAGTTAAGTAGACAGTTTACTTACTGAGACATTGGATCTACCCCCGGGGATAGTATAAAAATGAGCGCTGATCGGTGGTTCGAGTCTTCGAAACTTGCTGCCAGATCGAAAGTTGGAGGCTCGATGAACTTGTGGCCAAGTTTGACTCGAACAAATTCTTGTATGGCTGGTATGATCCTCTCAGGTCTGAGAGCTCTCACAACCAACATCTTCTGGAATTCATTCAAGCTAGCCCATTTGCCTGGCAATGCTGCCTCATGCGGCTCGCCATGTTCAATCCATCCTTTCCATTCCTGTGGATCAAACTCTTCTCTGAGTCCGGAGAATGCAGGAAGGTCCGACATACGATATATCTCCGCCCACGCCTTCTCTGAGATTAGAGTTGGATCCGGATTCGGAATTGTCGGCGCTCCCACACTAATGCCACCCGTAGTAAGATGTTGAAATTCGGGTTCATTCAGCTCCTGTCGGTTTTTCAGAATACTGGTGCATAGAAGAAACGAGAAGAGGAGTTTGTCTTTTTCAAACAGTGAACGGCACACGTTGAGGTAAAGTGAGTATGTGAAATATGACTCGAGGTTCTTCAGTCGCCGCTTAAGTACACTGGATTTGTTGGATAGTGCAATGCCGTTGATGAACAGATCAATGAACCAGGTCAGAGAGTACTGGTACATTGGATCTATGTTTGCCAGATCCGCAATGCAGAAGTAGAGCGTAGATGAGTGATTGGCAATGGGCCGGTATGAGTTACGTGTTTCATCGATTTTGCGTTCCGTTTCCTCTGCAATCTTTTGCTTTTCGAAGAGTTCCGTGGATATCTCCTTGGACGAGGATAATACCTCAATTGCCGTCTCATTCTCTAAAATATTGCCCTCTGCTGAGGAAAGGATCTCCAAAATTCTGTCTTCAATTTCTTTTAGCCGCTTCTTGTTTTCCGCGCCCTGTAATATCAGCTGCGTCTTTTCCTCCTCAAGCTCTGGACGCTCTTTGGTCACGACGATTCCAAGAAGTTGATCTTCTAAACCCTCAGGCGTAATCATGAAATTGAGCAGCGATACCTTAACCGCAACTTCGGGAAGATAGTGTGGATTCCTGAGCTTCGTGGTGATGTAGAGGCGGAAGTTGTCAGACCATTCTATAACTGCATCTCCCAAGCGTATACACGTACTACCCCCAGATTTGAAGGTCTGCTTTTGGAGCACACTATCAAGAACCGGGTCTAGCTCCTCCTTCACGTTCTCTAGAAGCACTGGTGCGCCGAACTGAATCGCGTTCTCCAAGTTTCGAACGTAATCGGGATCAGTGAGCTTAATGATTTGTAAATTGTTTTCCTTTTCCATATTCTTAACCCACTTGTTCGCCTGGCCTTGCGGGTCGATCATCAAAGGCCATCTTCTGGCATTTTTCACAATTATACCATTGTCTACGGAGAAAGCGTCGGACGGCAACCCAGCGATGTTCCAGGCTCTAATTTGAATGGGATCCCCTAATACCTTCGCTAGGGAAAATGCATCCGAGCAGGGGATCATGGCCTTATTCATCATAGCCAGCCACCCGTTGATGCATTCGTGCCTGTATAGCTTAGTGAAGGCACCGAGGTAAGCGATAACTCCTGCCGATATCAGGACGTCACCGGTCAAGTTAAACAGGGTTTGATCCAAGATTTTCACCACATCGGTCCATCGTTGCTTCTCGCCACCGAGGCCCCCGAGCAGCTTTTGAGCGCGGTCCAGCTGCTCCTCACAGCTTTTCACTTCTTTCTCCAATCGCTCCTTTTTGTCAGATAGTGCCTGAAGGTTGTCATTTAATGCTTGTAGACGGTCAAGCACTGCTTTTAGCTGGGCGCGTTTTTCAGCAAGGCCAGCCATGGTCTCTGCCAGTTCAGCTTCAGCGTGCGCTAGGGCGATTTGTTTCGGAGCAACCTCCTTCGCAACACGGTCATACGCTTCCATTGCTATAATCCAGTTACACAATCCTTCTGCCGCAGACGACGCATTTCGTACTTTCTCTGGCTTAAACTCTGGATTTGGAATATACTTGATTCGGATTGCTTTGATCACATGTGCTGGAATATCATCCTTATCAAACGACTTCAAGCTGTCTAGGAACTTGGGGTCACCGAGCACCTTTAGTGAGGTTTTCCAGTAGTCAAATACCATCTTTCCAGAGCCCGAGGGATCTGGAATCCTGTCGGGCTTGACATCCTTCATAACACAAACGGCTTCCATCACCAGCTTCACACCTTCAGGTGGATTCTTCATGGATTTCACCAAATCAATGTCGGACTTCTTCAGGGTATCCAAAGCTGCGAGTGCCGAGTTCAACAACGGCAACGCCTGCGCCAAATCATTTTCACATTCCTGTTTGATGGCAGACGCCTGCTCTGCCTTTTGCGCGGCGACGGCTTCGTCGGCCGAAACAGTTTCCTTTGTTGCCTCCACCTCAACAGATTCCTTCTCAATTTTCTTCAACATTTCTACTGTTTCTTCGGAAGTCTTTTTCAGCTGAGGTTGGAGACTGGTCAAGTCCTCCTGCATACGTCCAATTTGTTCTGCAGCAAATCGTAGCTTGTCGAGACCACCGACATATCGTCTTTTGACTGCCGCCACTTCCTCGCGCTTTGCTGTAAGTAAATCTTTATATGCATGCAATAATTCCAGATAGCTGGTTGGAGTCACATAATTGTGTCTTGACGAAGCTGATAGGTATCTTTCCGACAACGCAATTGCGCTTTGGTGGAAATGTTTGCACATTTGCACCACGGCATCTCGCACCGTGTCCCCAAGCTCGACTTCGCTCAGGAACTGCCATGCAACGGCTTGCAAGGCGTCGTCCGGCCAGGCTTGGAACCAATCAATAGTGCAGCAGTTGACAAGGGAAGAAAACTGCCTGAGCCTTGCACGGAATGCATCACCAATAGGACTCATACAAAGAACAATGTGAAGATTGTTGCGCACGCGTTCGATAAAGTAACTGTACAAGGCGGCGGGACTGCCATCTCCCGCTTTACCTTGCTCTTGCGCGTCCGACACTATCCGATCAATGATATTCTGCCGCTCGTCCGCCGCAAACAGGTTTGGTACATCTCCTGAATTCAGTAAGTTACTAACGTCCTCTATAAATGATTCTTCCTTGATTTGAGTATCGGGGAAGAGGAACACCGTTTTCTTATTATCGGCTCCAGCCAAAATGAGAATTTTCTTCAAATCCTCCTTCCATTCCAAACGGGAGTAGGATTTCGATATTTCAATTTGATAGAGTTCATACTGGCAAATAAAGGCCGCTAAACGAGTCAAACTTTGTCGTCCACTGCCACCAACTCCGACCAATAATGCATTTCCTCCAGGCAATCGGAGTATGCGACAGATTCGGGACACGTGCTCGATGGCGAAACGGAATAATACCAAGTTTAGCTTTGCCTTCTTGACCTGGTTATATTCACCTAGCTGAGTCTGTACCACTTCTTTCATCTTATCAAAGTCAGTCAGCTCCGTGTAGTCTGGTTCTACATTTGGAGTGCGCTTGCTAAGGATGTCTCCAAACATGAGACTTCGTAGGTCATCCTCCATCAACATTTTCTTATCATCCAACTCGGTGGATCCGCTGGCTAGATGAGCGAAAATCTCATCTGGTTCTCTGTCAAACTTTTCTTTGATGACATCGAGAACATGACTGAACAGGTTGTATCTATCGTCCTCTGTCACCAGCCGATCGTAAAATACTCGGTACACCTCATGCGTCCACAACCGTATAACCATATCGCTGGTCTTAAAAACGTTGGGACGCGAGAGAACAACACCTTGAATAACTCTTGCAAAATCACGAAGGTTGAAGGTGTAGTGCGTCTTGGCAGGTGTGGGTAGCAAATTGCCTACCGTCCACTGGAATACACTCGTCGTTGCTTCCACCAGATTGATAGCGACTGCTCTGATGTCTTCAGTAAAGTCAAGTCGCCCAAAGTGCCAATCTAGTATAGAAGTGAAAATTCGAGACATTGTCTGATCATCAAAGGAGTTGATGACAATCTGGTTGAAGTGTCGCTGAAATCGTGGCGTAACGACATTGCGCCCTCCGCCCGGTGGACCCATTGCGGTTACCAGTTGGATGTCAATGAGTTCTAACCTGGAAGTATCCTTTTTGTCATACCAGTTCCCATGGTCCAGCCACTGTCGAAAGAGCTCAATGGGCGGCTGAGCTCCGTACTGCTCCTTGGCAGGCATATTCAAATCATCGATAAAAATGAGATACTTCTTTCCCACAGGTGCACCAAATACACCCTTTCGGCGCTTGTCCAATTTCGACATGACAATATCTTGCGTTTGTGCTGCGCTCGTCCGCGCCGAAAAGCTGATAAACATGGGAATAAATTTGTCCTTTGGAACGCCATCCAGCAATTTGTTACTTATGTACTTGGATTTTCCCGTGCCCGTCGGGCCGACGAGTAAGAATCCCACGTCGTGCATGATCATCAGGTCCATCAAATAGTTGTACCTTGCTGTGTCTTTAGTCGGGATTATGATGTCGTTGAAGTCGGCATTGGCTGGAATTGGTACACTTTCGATCGTGCTCAGCCAAGGAACCCACTCATCGGTCTCTTGTGTTCGGTAAAGATAGTCATACAGTGTTCCTGCGTCCGGAAGCGGGAGTTTCATGGGTTCAGGTAACTGCCCAACAATTTTCTTGACACATGCATCAAACTTGACTTGACTCTGTGCGTCAATACTGCCTCCAATCGTCCAAATGAGCGCAAAAAGAAATCTGCATTCTAACCGTTGCTCTAACATCGGATTTGAAGCATTTGTCGCTTGATCTGTGTCTCGCATATCATCCAACGTGCAATCAAGTAGTCTGATCAAGGAATTCACAAGTCCAATGTCCGTGGTAGGAGAGACTTCTTTACATTCTCGGCGCAAACACTGCAATGTGGCCGGAACGAAGGATTCGAAGAGCTGCTGAAGATGCTTTACGTGATTTTCAGCGAGGTAATCAAGTCCTTGTAGCCATGAAACCATCATTGGCTTCCATCCTAAACGCTCGGGTTCGAGGTACACCATACCACATCGACTAACAGTTGCCGGCTACCATGACAGAACGCATCAGCATGACAATGAAAAGCTGGAGGAGTGAAAGGGAATATCAACTTACAGAAGCTACGGCAAGGTCCATCACTTCAAAGACTAAGCTCATGGTGTTCGACAATTGGATGATCTCTCCGCTCATTAAGCAAAGCTTCTTATTGTCGTCCAAAACGGTATTCATATTTTCCACCCAGACTGCATCCACCGGTCCATCAAATATGACCCACTTCCGATCTGGAATCGTACTGTTTGCAAAGCTCCGAAAAGTTGTCGCAAGAACACCATCAGTCCACTCATGAGAAACAGGATCAAATTGACCGTAGAGTTGACCCATTGCAATAGCCTTGGGATTGATTACTCTGTACTGGACTTTCAGCCACTCGGCATCTGGAGTATCATTTCCTTCCTGATTTCCCAGATCCGTCAACGCTTCTGCCAAGACACGGTACGCTGAGGTCTTTCCGCCATAAGGCTCCCCGACAAGCATAAATCCGTGGCGGACGAGCATCATCTCATAAAGCTGTATAATTTTCTCCAGGAAGGCAGGAACGAGTTGCAGTCGCATCCTGTGGCATACTTTCTCGATTGCGGATCCCAGAACCGCATAGTCGGGTTTCGGCAGGCGAACCCCGGGGAAAAGGTCCGATGCGATGCCTTTGAATAAAGCGATATCTTGGGATAAAAATTTCGGCAAGTTGACATCAATAATGGATCTCAGCACGAGTATATTCTCGTCCTCTTCCGGGTACTTCAATTTTAGGTTTCCAGCGGCGGTAAGTACACTCTTCACCGCACGCATACCGTAATCGTAATGATCTTGGCTAGATAGTTGCTCAGAGCACAAACGGTATGTGGCAGCGATCTTGCGAGCCAAGTTACGGGCTTCAATGAATCCACAGGAGTAAAGAGTGATTTCCGCAATAAGAGTATAATCCGGTACCATCATTGCTACGGTTCTAAACAGCGCTTTCAAATTATCCGGTAGTTCCGATCGCCCGGCATAACCGGGATTCATTGTAATAAAGACTGCGCAGGTCGGATTCAAGGTCAAACGGGTGCCCTCAAACATAAATTCGGTGACCTTCGCCCCAATAGCACGCTGAATGGTTAAAATTTGTTGAGCAACGACAGATAGAACTTCCAAATCGATTCGATTAAACTCGTCAAAGCATGCCCAAGCACCGGCACATGCAAGGCCTTTGAAGAATTTTCCCATCGCGAGATAGTCGAGGCCATCAGAACAGTTGAAAACGACGCACTGCTTTGCCAGCGCCTTTGCCAAGTCCTTTGTCGTCTCCGTCTTTCCAGTTCCGGCAGGACCCTCGGGTGCACCACCAAGGTTAAGATGTAGTGCACCAAACAATGTCCGATAACAGCGATCCGTCAAGGGAGTAATCACCAAACGTGGTGAATTGCCAAGATATTCATAGCCATACTCTTTTTGCGCATTGATCATCCTCACGAAAACATTATCTTCTTCCCAATAGTATCTCAATTGAGCTAGCCACGAAAAGTCGTTGATGTCTTTGAGGCTTTCCTGAGCAAGTTGTGCAGTCACATCACGGGCGTGGACATCAATAACGACCAGTGCACCCAGCGTTGCTCGAGCCATTTTGCTCAACGATCCACGAACAAGTCTGATGACTTCGTTGAGATCTTTGTTTAATTGTTGAAGGTATTCCTCCAAGCCGCGCTTTCCCTGTTGAATAGCATTCTCGACGCCAAGGGTCCAGTATATTTGACTGACACAGAGAACGACCTGACCCGGCCAGTCGAGGACCCACTTTTCACGAGCATGACGCTGATAGTCGTAGTACGCTTCTTCAACTTGGTACCGCACGCTTTGCAACATTGCTTTCTCGACCTAGTCGCTCAAAGTCAGCGTCAGTGCGCCAGCGGTTCGCGACCCTTATTGATCCCTTACCTGAGACAGCCATTTTTCGACACTCCCTTTGGCATCGACAGTGGATACTTTCTCCACCAGCTCCAATCTCTCCTTTTCACTTGAACATAACGCTTTAATGTTCAACTTATCATCGAACTCCAAGTTCGCCACACCCTCGAAACACTTTTTCAAATGAGGCTGGACTCGGGTAGGGTCTTTCGTTTCACTCAGTATCTCGAGCATCTCATCATTGGAGAGGAAGAAGAACCGGGGGAAGAACAGACGTTTCACTTCTAGATAGGAATTTAGACCTTTTAGAATGGCTTCGAGCATGAGACTGTTTCTTTGGAGATCTTCCAGAATTTGCGGTATTTCCGTGGCTTTCAGGATATGCCGGTCTTCATTGACAGCCTGAACAAATCTTTAGAATTGGCAGTCATACATGCTTTCAAAGACATACATTCAACGTACGTTCATCATCTTCCTCCAGCTTTGGTCCACCATCTTGAACTTTCTCCCCTCTTCCGGCATCTGATTCATGATATCTTCGCTGCTGAAAATGGGTTCAAGATACAACCACGTAGCTTGCACTTTCAACCATTCATCAATGATCTCTTGTGTGTTGAGCAGTCGTCTTTCCCAGTCTTTAATCTGCTGCTCAAACGGTTTAATATAAGGCGATCCGCGCATGGATTGCGTCTTAACGATTTGATCATCCAGCAGTTGTTGTGCGTCATCAACAGCCGATAGAATGAAGGTGCCGCTTTCTCGGTAAGGTAGGAGGTTGAATACCAAAGGCTCCCATTCGGTGAACATTTTCGTCATATTCTTTTCGAGTGTGTATTCCTTTGAAGCGGCATCTGCAAGCAACCTTTATTAGAATTGCAAGAAGCTTATCATTGCCACGATTTGCATGTTACCGCTAACTTCCTGGAACGGCTCAAGGAATGGCTCTAAATTCAATTTCAACATTTTTCTCAAGCTCGTTGTTGCGTCCGGCTTGATATCAAACCCCGCAATCTGTGTCATCTTATTCCAATGTCGGTCTCTCATACCAGGGTTACAAAGCACATGAATCAGAGGTAAATTGATCATGAACTCATCAATTTTTTCTCGGACTTGCTTTGCAATGTTCTGCGGTGCGGCGTCTTGAACCAAACCACCGAGCAACCGGTAGATTTCGCGTTTGAGTCCATCGACTTCGACTTCAATCTGTTCCGCGTCCAACTCCAAGAGGTTTCCGTCCATCCATTTTTTGTAAGATCTTTGGAAATTGACGGCCGTACTGTAAAGCGCTTGATATGGTTCGAGCATTCCCATGATTTGTTTCCTCTGGGGATAGACCGTTACATTCCAGCCGAATAATTGCTCCTCCTTGTTAAATGCGGCAATGGTATCCGCCGCAGACTGGAGTTGCTTTGCAAGCGTTTGCACCTTTTTCACATAGAAGGGCATTTCATCCAAATCGCCGACTTCCTTCAGCTCTTCCACTTGCTTCTGGAAGTCATCTAATTCGGACTCAAACTTGGTTCGCCGCTCCCGCAAGTTTGCCTCGTTCTTTTCCCTCGCTGCCCCGATGATCTGGTTATGGTTCTCCATGATTGGCACGATCCGTTGGGGCCAGGTGAAAGTGACATTGTTCAGCGAAATATGTTCCTCTGTAAGAGCCGAAAAGTTCACGATATAAACCAATCGACGGCGAGCTTCTTCCAGCTCAGCCAAGAGTGCAGGAAGCTCAACATTCCGAACTGTCTCCATATATTCCATTTGGTCCGCCATTTCCTTAAAGTTTTCGGGGATTCGGAGGGCGCGCTCTGCAATGACCTCGTATCGGGCACAGATTCTGATATGATATTCAATAAGACGAAAAAAATATTGACAAAACAAAGAAGATACGCTACCTGCGCTGGTGTTCGGCATTCTGTTCCACAATTTTCGTCAGAAATTTGTTGGATAGGGTAATTGCTTGAGCTGCCAGAGATTTATGCAACTCATCACAATTCAGCTCGACCATGGGCAATTCCACTTTTCGCGGATTGGCAAGTATGGAGGAAGCAAGAGCACGATATTTATCAATTTCCTAAGAGCAAAATCATTCAGCTCCTCTACAAATTATGCACTGATTATGAACTTACCACTGTGTATTCCTCAAAGGTATGTTCCTCCGTGAAGAAATTCTCCACTGCTTCGTCCACTTTATGCGTATATATATCCGCATAGATATAGTACTTCTTCACAAAGTTTTTGATCACTTCGAAGCACTCTGCAGCGTATTTTTCCAGTTCTTTTTCAGCACGATCGACAGCGCCATCTTCTAATGTTATCCGCATCTCATCACTCCCATCTACTGCAAGCATTCTAAGGACCTCAGACCCGGAGGTGGCAGGATTGGCCAAAATGAGGTCACCACTGGGTCCAAAAATTACGTTTGCAATTTTTGGCATTGACTCCACAGTTTTGACAACGTAGCCCAAGCCTTCAATAAGGGCTTCAGTTATTTCGGAGAGAGGAGGATCAAACTCAATGGCGTTCTCGGAGTTGAGCCATAGGCGAACCATAAAACGGGGAGCACAAGGGCGCAAGGGATGGGAAATGGAATCAGCGGCACTATCTTGGTGAATTGGGTAAGTGAAGAGAGAGCGAAAGTCCTGCAGTGATTGGGCAATGATAGAATGCACTTGTTTGTACACCATAGTTTCGGCTGATCGGAAAAAGGAGTCTGGAGGGCGTGCAGGAGGCGGCTTTCTCCGATCGTTCTTATGAAAAAGGTCTGTAAACTCCCGCAAGATCGTCATATACCACCTACAACCAAGGTTAGCAAATTGGAGCCGTGCTTAGATATGTCGCCATGCGGCATACCCATTCAATAGTCTCTCTCGACACTTCTCGGCATCAACCAATACTAAGCTCCTGAATCCCGAAATTCTAAACGCCTCCCTCTGCCCTCGTATCTCATCCAAATCCACGAATCGAAGTTTATCAAACTGGAGCCACAGAGCTAGCATCCGCACCATAAGGAAGTGGGTGATGTGCAGATTCTTCTCAAGTTTTGCACGGTTTTCGAGAAAAGAATGGCGCCATGGGGATGGAAAGGGGCACTTGTCTTGAGGGAATGGGAGGATGTCCGCTGAGGTGCTGGACGCTTGTTTAGCACATGGATTGCAAGATAAGTTGGTGACATATTGCCGCTACCTTTCACGTTCCTTTGAACCTGATCCCCTTCTGAGGATGTAATCGACTATCAAGGAGAAGGATCGTGAGTCCATACTTTGCATTAAACCAAATATCTGATGATTGCACCGGCGTACCCGCGGACTGCTTTCCACTCTCGCTGTACTCCTTTCTAGCTTCCTCCAATAAATCCGCTGTCAAGTCAGGGTAAACGTCCACTAAAGCTCCAGGAATACTCTGCAATATGTTGATCACCCAGTCCCGGCTCAAATCGCTGTCGGTGTGTGACCGAATGGTTTGGTCAAAGTACTCATAGAACGCCTTGAAAATTGTCAATCTGAAGGGCCTCCGTTAATGGAAGCGACACAATTCATACCTCAACCATATCCTTATCATCTGAGACGTTCGTGGATGTCACTTCGTTGAGTATCTTTTGAACTCGGTTATCTGGCTGAAACTCGCTCGACATATTCAGGATTAAAATGCCAGCCGCATCTGCAGTTTTAAAATTATATTAGTTCAAATATTAAAGAGCACAGAGCATGGAGGTGAACTGGCGCAGCATGCCTTCTTGTGGTTGTTGCACTTTTACATTCTGCTGATCCCTGGTGAGCATGGTGCAATTAGCTAGTGAACGTCAGGAAGCAATCCGCATTTCATGCATGTGCACGAGGTTGTCCACCCACACAAGAAAGTCAACCAGTCTCGCTCTAAATGTCTTGCCGCTCCCGGCGTCAGCATTGTGTCCTTCGGCTTTCACACTGGTTTCCATCAAGTCATCCAACACTCCTGACACCGGGTCGCGCTTTTCTACCCTGGACTCATGAAATCCGCCGGCATCGACCACACCCCGAACACCACTGTATCCCATTCGTGCCCTCTCCAGTCTCATGACTGGATCTTCTATGACCATGTGGTGGTGGGTCTGTTGGCCCGGTGGCCGCCGTGGTGGTGGTGGTCGTACTTTAATCTTTGTAGCAAGGGTAGGAGGTAAGGATTGTGAACTGGCATTTTCGCGGGAGGAGCGGGAGGCATTGATAAGATCTGTGGTCCAAGAGGTTTAGGTCGACGATCAATGTGAAGATAGCCACGCTCTCGGAGTTGATAATACCTTTTAGTGTTATAGTTTTCTTGCGAAGGTTGGCAACTTGCTTCTTGCGTTCCCCTTCGTCACCAGGCGGATACCAGTCCTCCATCGCATCTTCCTCTTCATGCTGTGACAAGTTGGGCAGAAAGCAGACTGGTGCTTCGTCGAGTGGTGCAGTTGTTGTCATGTCTGCCCCACCGCCCTGTCAGACTTGAATGCAACAGGAAATTGATTTAAGGTGCACCAAAATATGATGTGAGATGGAGGTCTTAACCTCATCGACTCGCCGACCGCCCTGCAAACCAGATCCTGGGAGAAGTAAGTCCGTAACTTTATGTCAGCAATGCGAATGTGAGTGGAATGCATTATGCATTTGATTCACTTTTCAACCACGTCACCGCCACTTAGCTACGTGACCCCATTACCCAATCTTTACCAACCAGTCTTGGCAGATGCCCCACCGGATTTTCTTGCATAAAAGGAGCTGCAGTTGCTTTTCGTCCTTACTCAACTTGCGAATTAAAACCTCTTTTATTCAGCATTTGCTATGGCCGAATCACTACCCGCCCTTCCACCCCGTGCAGATGTTGTCCCTTCCCCGGCGGCGTCTGCGCTAGCGAAGCTGCAAACCGTAAAGGAAGCAGTCCATATTCCCACGGTCCGCGAGGTACTCGCTTTTAACCCCGCAAAATCCCTCTACCGAACCGTAGTACCGTTTATCCTCAATAAGGAATCCCAGCTTGGAGAGGACACTCCAGCTGCTCGAGCCCGAAGTCTCGAACGAATTCAATTGGTATCAACATGGTTAGATGCCAAATATAAGATACCGTTCACAAAATACAAGATTGGGCTGGATCCTCTTGTCAGCGCTGTTCCCTATGTTGGCGATGTTGTCAGTACAGCGATGAGTTGTTATATTGTGTATTTGACGAGACGATTTCATGTACCATGGCATATCACGGCCAAAATGGTGTGGAACGTTATGTTGAATGCAACATTTGGGTAAGTTCACAACTTCCATTATTTCTTTAAAAACTCTCTTGTCTGATACCATGCTCTCCTGTCATAGTGCAATTCCGGTCCTAGGCTCCGCTTTTGATATCGCTTATAAGCCCAACATGCGAAACCTTATTCTCTTGGAAGAATTTCTGCGCAAAGAAGCTATCAAAGCTGGTCAAGATCCTAAAGTCATCGATGAGGCTCTACGGCGATCTCGCGCAGAAATAATATCGTTTCATGAAGGAGAAAGTGGGGAGACGAGGCCATTGCTCGCGGACGGGGCTGAACAGTCAAAACAACTATATCCGAACGCGGGAACTTCGGAGGATGTCCCAGCTCCTCCCCTACCGTCAAGGGGTTAGGTGAAAGGCACATGCCAATTCGATGGCTGACGCATGTGGTATTCTGTATTTGGTTATCACCGTGTATATGTGTTTCATAAATGTAGTGTAAATTGTCACCTGCAATAACAACCGCGTTGGCAAGACGCTATTATTCTTCCTCAATGAAGAGCCCCGTATCAATTTATCTACTTAGAAAACGCTTTTCATTGATATCATTCTCTCATCATCTGTGAGCCAACACAACCATGGTATCCCCATCAACAAAAGAGAAGGAAGAAGCCCTCCAGTGGAGGGCACAACATGCTCTACGGCTCTGGTAAGCTGACTAAGCCTCCGGTTAAGCCACGCCCAGGACCCCGCCGACTGGCCATTCATAACACGTCACCTCAGCTGGCCGCATTCGTTTATGTTCTTCTCGCCCTCCCCACCGGATATGTTCCCCCAAATGCATACGGGGGCAAGATATCACAGGCAGCGACTAGTACGTCGGTGAAATTGTATCGCACCGCACAACAAACAACCCAAACGACGGACACGCTTAGGGAATCCCCACCACTTCAAACAACGGCCCAAACAACGGATACGTGATACGTGGGAAATCCTTACCCACACCAGACAATGGCTCGAATAACCCATGGTCGCAAAACGCAAGTGTGAAAAGCGGCGAGACGAAAATCCACCAAGCAGAATGTTTTGTCGGGGTGATAGGAACTCCTGCAATGGGATACCTCCTATCCCAGCAGACGAAGACCGGTGCCCGTTGTGCAAGAAGACGACATATCAATGTTCGTCGCGCGACGACAAGGGTTACAAATGCCACAAGTGCCGCCTCAATAATTCGAATTCGATTTCTGATGCAGTCAGTTCTTGGTGAGTGCACGAGAAAGTCCATTGCTCATGTGGCCACACTGAACTGAATCATCTGCTCTTGACAGCACACAACAAATAGAACCGAGTCGCCTGAGGTCAATACATCCTGGAACCTCTCCGCAAGGCCGTAAATCGCACGCTCCAATCGAATAGGCAATGCGGCCAACCTCATCCTGCCCTCGTCATTCCTATTATCTTGGTGCACCTTCTGGGAGATCCTGTGCAGTTTGTGGGGAAAACTGCCACGACACAGACCTGCGTGAAAGTTAATTCCCGTGGCCGCCATCCGGATCTGCTGCCGAGAAAGACCACGTCATCCGATGGATCTTTGGAACTTGGATTGCCGCTGAGCATTTGCCCGATAGCGCCGTAGGGGGGGGGGGGGGGGGGGGACTTGATTATCTGAAGCTTTGGCACATATGGAAATGTGCTGTCGGGAGTATGGGTGCACGGTCGCTTTTCGCGACCATGCGTCGTTTAGGCCGTTGTCTGGTGGGGGTAAGGATTTCCCACGTATCACGTATCTGTTGTTTGGGCCGTTGTTTGAAGCGGTGGGGATTCCCTAAACGTGCCCGTCGTTTGGGCTGTTGTGCGGTGTGGTAAGGAGAAAGAGGGAGCCGCTTTGTGAAGACCAGACCAATCTGTTCAGTGCATGCAAGCACGGGTTCACATTAGTTACACATATTTGACCAGTATGTAGTCTACCCTGAGCTACTCCATAAAATAATCAAGTACTGTTATTAGCTCGCTTATATGTTACATAAATATAGTTTAAAGCGTGACAAGCAATAACAACAGCTTTGGCAAGAGATTTAAACCAGAAATAACAACAGCGTCATGATCCAATAAAAGAGTAGATCAGTTTGTTTATTTAAAAAACGCGTCACTAAGCCACTCTTGCCAGACAGAACGCTGCTTTCCAGACAGAGCTTATTCTCGTTGTCCAGCAGCGCTCTTTTTGATTGATTTCGATCTGAAAACGCTCCATCATTGACACCATTTCCCCGCATCTATCCACACATACCAAACCCTACCAACAACCAACCACTTGAACCAAATCTCCCGGCCTTTTGAAATCTCAACCCCAAAGCATGCGGACCCCTGCGCAACAAGAGGAAGACGAAGCCTTAGCTTGGGTTCATACGAGAGTACGAACTATGTGCGCGAGAAACCAGGAATGGAATATCAGCGATCTGGTCAACGTGTTGAGAAGGGAAAACGACGCATTGACAGCCGCCTTCAGCAGAATAGGGAAGAACTGGAGTACCATTCTGGATAGGCACTTTCCGAATGAGTTTGACTTCAGAACCGCGGAAGGAAGAACCTACCTGCGGCTCCGACCCGGCGGCGGCGGAACCCCGTCTGACGACGGCGGCTCTGCTGCCGTCGGGAAGGAAGTGGCTACTGACGTTGGGAAGGAGGTCGCTATTAACGTTGCGAGATTGGCTTTAGTGAGCCCAATGAGTAACCGAGCCAACGTCACGAAAATAAACAGCAAGCAACTGTATGATGAGATGAGAGCGATCACAGAAGAGGCCCCGTACGTAGTCGTCCATGATTGGGGTTCTGCTTTTCTCGTTGGTGTTCCTGGGGGACGCACCTTTGTTGCTGTCCCATCCCTTCATGCCAGCAATATGAAAGAAATTCGAGATCATCAACGCAACTTGTTTGACAAAGGGAAGATGGTCATCAGTTGGCATTCCTCTGCTAGCCCTCCCGGTACTGAAGAGTGCACCGTTTGGAATTTCTACAGGGGTTTGGTACAACTGCAAAAGCCGTTGAAGAATAAGCTACTAATACCCATCAACGAAAGCTCGTACGAAGAATTTCGAGATGTTTTCGCCGCAACCTTCTCCATCCCAAACGTCTCCGTTCCTGAACTTGGAGCGAACACCGAGCAATGGCTTACGTCGGCCGGCAATGAAGCGATGGCGTTGATTGATAGCTGCATTCTACTCGGCCAATTAAAAATAATGATCGAGCTGCGCTTATCAGAGGGCAAAGAGACAGTTGGCAAGGTTCCTAAGCTGCCGATTGTCGCCGCCTACGACGAAGACGCCTACGATATCGACTTATTAACATCTTTTGACAAGGCGTGGAAGGCAATCCACCGTTTTCAGAACCCGACTGCAAAATTAGTCCCCGTGCCCCCATTCCCCGGTGGTGATATCCTTCAAGCCCGCAGGCAATGTCTTACTCCAGACGGCAGATTTCCATATGCGCCAGAGCTGCAGATCATCAAGCCTCCCCTACGGCGCATATTGCAAATGCTTAGCGGTGATCCAAGTACCAAGGAGAACTACCTCGACCCATGGTACGACGAAGAAGATCGCGTCTATACTGTACACGAAGGCAGCCCCAGCGGCGTCGCCGGCTCCTTCCGGACGGCTGGTGATGCCGCCGGGGCCGCCACCGACAGTGAGCAAGGTCCATTGGATGACGTGGTCGACCTGCGACAAGGGCTCCTGGATGCTTTCAAACCCACTGAGCTCGAAAACCTCAGTGAAATCTATCTGGATGTGGGAGACGCAGCGTCCGCTATCACGTTCAAGGGAGAATACCGGGAGTTCTCTGTGAAGCCTCTTTCTCGGGCGCAGATCCAGATGGCGGCGACGGGAATTCCCTTTCATGCCGATCTGTGTCGTGGCAGTTTTCCGAACGAACTGCACAGGATCTCGCAAAAGTTGCAGCGAGATGTGCTCGATGACGAGGGCAAGATGGGTTTAGCTGGATTGACCATTCGAGTGGAGCGGGCGATTTACGGGCTTGCAGAGAGGTTTCAAGATATACTGAATTCAGATGACTCTGTTTTATTTGTTGGCCTGCCGGGTGCTGGGAAAACCGCCGTGTTACGGGATGTGTGTGCATACATAGCAGAGGGAATCCATCCAAGAAAACTTGCATTAGTAGATTCATCGCAAGAACTTGGCGGTGCAGACTTCGTGCGGCACAAATGTCTTGGCCGTACAAGGTGGTTTGGCGGTTTGGGCTGGGAGGGCGATCTTGCGGAACTAATGTCGCTGATCATGCGCAACCACACTCCACTTGTGATGGCCACCGACGAGATCACGGCTCGATCGGAAATCGACGCCGCCCGCAGCATCAAAGAAAGTGGTCTTCGTATGCTTGCCACCTGCCATGGGTCATTCCAGGATTTGATCAAGCACCCTGACAAGAATACTCTGCTCGGTGGTATTGCATCTGTGACAGTCACGGATGAGAAGGCGCAAAAGGGGGGCCGCTTTGTGAAGACCATGCAGTCGCGAGCAAAGAGTCCGATATTCGATGTGATAATCGAAATCCACTCGAAGACACAGTATGTCGTCCTATCGAAACATCGGCGAGGCGGTAGATCGTGCCATTGACTTCCAACCTGTTGTTGCGGAGCATCGCTGGCTCGATGAAAGAGGAGTCCTGATGTCCCGCTTCTCGCCGACATTTATCTTTGAGATTGCTCCGACGTTGTGACGGTCGGCGAACCTCCAGGGGCTCCGGCGGCGTCGGTCAGCTCGATCGATGCTGCTGGAGCTCCCGGGCTCTGGCGCAATTATTGGTGATGGACACAAATGAGTGCGTGACAGATGCGTAACGGTCATCATCCTGCTGCTGTCTTGGAATAACTTGTAAATTTGTGTATATCTGATCTGTGTTGCTTGCTGATGTGAAGATTTCTCGCTTCTGTATCATTTGCAATATAAAATATCTGAAACCATGACAGTTTGGTGACTTTCAAGTTCAGTCTGAATCGATTCATCACTTACTACAGTGTAGCGCCATTCAATTGACATGGCCGACTGCTTTGACCCATTTTTCTCTTGAACTAGAACAGCAAATGGTGCTGGGTTTGTTACAGAGTACTTATAGAGAAAACATTCTCCGATGCTAGGAAATACCCAGCCTCTTTTATTGCAGTTGAAAGCGTGACAAACTTGTGAACTAGTCTGTAATAGGTGGAAAACGGCCAGTCGATCATAGTTTGAAATGTCGCGCTTGATCACGCTACTAAGTTCTCTAGGGAGTACCCAATATTGATAATGAATAAATCCTATGGAGGTTTCAATAACGACAGAGTTCAAAGTCCACCCAACCAACTGTTTCATAGTATGCTACTATTATCGGTGCCTCACCAATGAGATTGCAAACTTGAGGAGTATACAATGTTGTGGTGTCATCGGTGAATTTCGACTTTGCAGGCCGGCGCTCTGTTATCATCCCCCTGAACGTAACAAAAACCCGAAATGATATCCTAGAGGTACAATTGTAGAGGTACAATTGTTGATGCCTTGCAAGAATGCATTTTGGCGCTTCTGGCTCGCGCACCGACTAGGCGGCTTCTAGCGCTATCACCAAAGGAACTGGCGCTAAGACGCGCATATCGTAATTAAGAGACCCGCCGCGATTCCAGACATGCCTGAGTTCACAAGTCTGGAACAGAATGGCGGCATATTAAGTGGAAATGGCTTCTGATTCGTGACGGACAATACTTCTTATGCTAATGATGTGCAGGAAAAAATACCTACGGAACCAAGAAAAAATAACTACGGAACCACCTACGGACGCTCCCGGCCAGGGTCGAACTGGCAACCTCTCGGTAGCTATTCTGGATAACAGCCGAACGCGCTAACCAATTGCGCCACGGAAGCCTTAATTTTTCAGTGCTTGGGTGTAAATATGTGTATAAATAAATATGGCACACGTAGCGCAAACTATTGCGATTGATTTATTTGGGATTTCCAATGAGCGATTTCCAATGCGCTCATTGCACCAAAACTGTGCCCAGTGGCACCCGTACACACCTTCTCAGGTGCCCAGTCAAATGAACACATGCAACCCGACGCAAAGACGGCTAAAAAAGGCTTTAGTTCCGTTGGTGCGTAGGCGTGTCGTCACAAAAAAAAATAGGTATGAAAAAAATAAACAGTTGGTGCTGCAAAGGGCTTTTGCTGAGTGGCGGAGAGGGTAAGCGTCCGAATCGCTGAGCCCCCCGCCGTTTTTCTTAAAGTTTCAGAGCCCAAAAAGCTTAGTAAGAAACTCTTAGTGTGTGTACGTGTGTGTAATTTGAATGGCTGACAGTTCCCCCCCAAATTTCAATTTGTCTGATGAAGGGATACATTCCGCAAGTCGCGCACTCACTACGAATTGTATCCTCTCCTTTTCTTTTTTTTCTTCTTCTTCTTTTTCTGTTTAGAACCCATGTCATTTAAAAACAAGGGAACGTCCTTTTGTCTTTTGTATCTTGTTCATTGGGACAGCTGTTTTGTTTCATAGGATATAAACTGACCCATCACGCGGGTCACAAGGGAAACACCCCATAATAAAAGCCATAGTGTGCTCACTCGCAACACGGATCGGGACGCGGGATTGCGCAAGAAGGGAAAATCCAAAAGTATGTGTGTTGGGTGAATTGTCGTCATTTAATATACTGCCCGATGGGCTTTCTGTTTACTCACATTTTTGCTTTAAAAGCAAGAACACATTCCCGTATTTCCTTCGTTATTTCAACAATATACAAAAAGACATGCAGTTTCTCCCGTCTCCCTCTACACACGCTTTTTCGACTTCATCCACCAAATTGCCAAAAACGCAAGCAACAACACATACAGCAGACGCCGCCCTAACGCGCGCGGCGGCCTCGTTGCTCTTTAGATTTCCTTCCGCTCAACCACAGTCATCACCCTCCAAGTCATTCGATACCTCATGCTCTCCATATAGATCTACTCTCACAACTCCAAGACTCAAGCTCGTGCCTGTCGCAGATATACCCAAGAGATTTTTGGATCATGTAGCGGATTTACTAGATAGATTTGGGTTCAAGTCGATAGACGAGATGGACAAGCAACTTACGGGGCACCACGAAATGTGGATTATCGAATTACAAGAAGGGTCATCAAGTGTATCATCATCAACATTCTCATCATCATCTTCCCTGGCACCTCGTTATGTTGGCATAGTTGATTTACGTGTCCATTCCCTTCCTTACACATCCTCGCCCGAGGCATCGCTCGAGCTATTGATCGCACCATTGTACCGAGGTCAAGGATATGCCACTGAAGCCGCCAAACACGTCCTAAAGCATGTTCTTCATCCATCGCAAGGACGCCCTCTGCACCGCGTCTCGGCAGCCACATCACCAGCATACCCGGCAATGGAGCGCGTTGTAGAAAAATTGGGAATGCAGCCAGCTGATAACCTCGGCTACTGTACATTAGATGATGCTAGGTACTGGGAGATTACCGAAGAGGGCTTTGCAGACTTGTGGTTGGAGTAATTGTTATTGATTCAGAGCCTCTTTCTTTGTGCATGATTCTGTGCATTTTGCTTTAGACATACGTATACATTGATTTGCTATGTAAATATATTTTGTCCGTAAATATACTTTTGAGCACCATGTGTAATGTCCGTAGCACGCCCATAACATTCTCACTAACAGGGACATTGCAATCCAGGCCGACCTGGTGACTGCCGCATCACCAGACCAGCGAGCACAGTATTCCCAACGAAACCAGTTTTGCAATCGTGACGGTGTCCGCCGCCAATCCCCGCCACCAACCGCTGTCCAATACCCCCGGACACGAAATATTGGATGAGAAACCACAAGTGTAAGGAAGATGAAGGAAGATGAGCACAAAGAGGGGCCCCTGCACAGGTGGGACACACGTGAGCCTGTGTGGCTGAAGCGGCGAAGGAACTGGTTTCATACAACTCTCAGCTAATCCATTTTGTTGTCCCGAAATCGGCGACGATGCTGGGCTTGGCTCTTTGATTTGCCTGCGATCCAGATGGTTTGCCCGAGGACACATTGTATGCAGTATTCAGCCAAGATGACACTTGCGCCCTCCATTTCTCCCAAACTTTGATCGGTATGTCGTTCTTTGACCACATACGAACATGATCGTGCTCAAGCATGTATAGATTACTGCTATGATAATGCTAGTCTTATTGCCATATTGAAGAATACGTACACTATACTGCTAATTACACCGCTTTGGTTGATAGTTTCAATATAAGTGGGAACATATACACTACACATTCGCCTCCCGATTTGTTGTGCGCAATATGTGGCGAGTCGATTCTACAAGCAGACGCACGTCAGAGCGGTTATTTCGTATCGTTAACGTATTTGAACAATCTGCAGGACGTGAAACACTTACCGAAAAGGATCCAGCTATGGTGCATGACGGCTAACCAAAGAGAACATGAAATGCTTCGTTGAAAGTTTCCAGTAACACAGGTGAAATCTGTAGGTGTCCAGAATTGATTTTTTTCTTGAAATGCTGAAGCCGCTTGGTCCATTTGTCCACTTTTGACTCCACTGTTGACGCCATCTTTTTGAGTTGCGTCCAAAGATTCAGTATGTTATAGCTGTGGGAATGTTGGCCCGCCGTTATCAACCAGATGATTGGAAGACATAGGGATACAAAAAGCTTGTTCATATCACAGCACTTCTTGCAGTGAAGGCACTTGTGGCATTTGTAACCCTCCTCGTCACGCGACGAGTATTGATACATCGATTTCTTGCACAACGGGCACCGGTCTTCGTCTGCTCGGATAGGAGGTATCCCATTGCAGGATTTGCTACAGCGTAAAGCAGCTTGAAAAATCGACAGCATCTGGTGGTCATCGAAAGACACGGTCTCCATAGCCACCCAAAGGTCCTGAACCATTTCTTTCGACCGGGCTATCTTTCTCACTGCGGCACCTACGAGATCCAGACCCGAGAATTGCAACATGAACGCCATCTCCAAGTACTGCATGGCGCTCATATTGGTAATCGCAAGATCGTCCTCACGGTGGGTATACATGCACATGATTATCCGAGTAAAGGTCTCGTCATCGGAAGTGAATGCCTTAGCATGAACCTCGTAGAGTATCTCGCCAGATTGCTCGTCGTTCCGCTTCTCTTCAAAGGACTTGTAGTGCTCGAAAAAGGCTGCCAATTGAAGGACCTCCATCTTGGCATAGAGAATATTGCCGTTGTTGAGCACAATCCTGGTGTCGGCATCGTTCTGGTTATTAAATGCAGGAAGACCAGCAGGCTTGATCGGTTTTGTCATCGTCGTAGTGCTGGAGTGTAAGTCGCGATAGAGCTTTCCAAGGAGAGCTTTGATTATTGGAAACCAATGGATTGAGCATCCATGGGAAACATCATATTACATCAATTCAACACACGGGTGACAGATGCTGGGCTTGTGAAGCAGAACGTGTATAGCAGGGATTTCATCACTTCTCCGTCCAACCCCGTGTGAACGTCAGTGATGGCTGGCATTTATCTCGATCGAATCCGGCTTGAAAAACGTCGAGAACGTAAATGCTCATTTGCTCTCGTCAATTTTCTTGATTTTTGAGCTTTTACGGGCATGGTCTTTAAAGTGTTTTCCTGTTCACTATCCTCATCATATATAAGTTTCGCTTGTTAGCTTGGGATAGAGCACGCCAATTGCCTGCACTCTATGGTTTAATTCCTTTTGTGGATTGACTAATATCTGATGAGAAACATTCAGCGGTTGCATACGTTAGCGCTGCTAAAAGAAATAGAATACTTGAGCAATATACATCCCTTTTCCATAGATCTGACACATGAATTGCTCAGAGCACTGTCAATTAGATTTTTCGACCATTGCTGCTTATGTAATGCCATGATCTTTTAGTGTTGCTGACATAAAGACGACTTCCATACTTCTACAAAGTCGATATAATACAGAAGAACGGATCGGAATTTCTTCTTTTCTTTCTTAGACGGTAGATGCCGGAAGAGCTTCATTGCTCCATGCGCAGATGCATGTGAGAGGCAGCTAGAATGGCGCAGGGTTCAGCCAAAGAGACCTACTTGGAGCGGCAGAGAGCTAGAACGACAAAGGAGGGGTGAACTAGCCTTTGATCCCATCCAGTGATAGCCACCTCTTTATCGTTTAACCTGGAAATAGAGCACGCCGATGTCCTGGGGAAAAACGCGCTTTCCTCAAAGGGAGCAGTCGTTAACTAGGAAGTGTGATGTGCCTGTTCAGATTGTGCTAATCACTAGGTACTTCAAGAATCAGTGACGGACATCATGATATAGCTGTTCAGCATCACCGCCAGTTTTCACTCCGTAAATTGTTATCAACTTATTATCAAACTGTCACCCATAGTCACATTATCCATTTACATTTTGAGGCCCATGTGTTCTAAAAATCTCATAGATAGATCGCTGCTACCTAACGCTTCTCCGTGCCTAGATGCATCAATATAATCCTTTAAAGGCTGTAACGTAGATAAAGACGATCGACAACAGGGCCAGAATGGTGCTCATAATCGTAAGTCCAAAACCAGCTCCAAGAGCCAGTTTTGAAAAGGTGACACCGTCAATACTTGAATCAGCCATATCTTGTTTGAACAACCCAAGCAGGATGATCGAAATAAGTTCAAAGATCACTAGTGGAAGGACGCCGCATAGGGAAATTGTGGGTAACAAGGTGAATAGGAGGGCGGCACCTGTAAAGAGACGCTTGACACCTACCGGTGGTGAGTCCAGACACTATGCAGATTTGAGCAAAAACTCGGCGAGATGTTTTCCAGTAAAACCCGTATAGCACTGAACGATAGAATGAGAATCGTGGTCAGCGCCCGTTTGCAATGGACACAATGACTCGAAGTATTTGCTGATAACGGCTTCACTTACCCATGGCTGCGAAGCTGGCGATCACCGCAAGGGGCATGAGAACTATAAATGAATATGAGCATTGACGGTTGCAAGCAAAACAAAAATTGCAGAAGCTCACTTTCGGCTCCCAGTAGCTTTGCGCAAAACGAGTCAGAACTATTCCCGGAACAAACGTCTGCCACTTTAATGCATTGCCCTGCAATACAAAAGTCATAGAGCCCAATCTTGGCGGGGAGTGTCCGGTACCTGAAGCAATGAGAATGCACCAAATGCAGAACTATGTCATGCTTCCATTGTTTGATTGAGAACTACTTGAGCGCGCTTCATACCGGCCGTTCACCCAATCGCCAAGCGCGGTGCCAACGATCGAAAAGATGGTAGTCAAGAAAAGACTGATGAAAATGGCCACACGCGGCCATGGAATATCGCTTTGGGTCGAGCCAGGTTGTTGCTTGCCAGTATCCTGGACTACGGCCACGGGAGACTCCAGATGGTGATCCGCGACCTTTTGGGTTGGAACGGACGCCGGATCTGCATAGAAACCGTTGTTGGGAGGATGATTGTAAACCTGTTGTTGGGACATATTGTGTCTCGCCGATGAATGAACGATAAGGAATAACGGTGGAGGCCTCAATCGGAGGGCCGGACTCCTCCGAACTACCTTAAATACTTTCGACAAAAAAAATCATCCTCCAGCGGCGATTTTGTGCAACTATGCTCGTATTCCACGGCAACCGGACTCAGCCATGTCCAAGACATAATCATGCGTGCTGCTGGGATCCCAGACACGTCTCTATGTACCTTCCTACTGCTTCTAAACCTGGTTTACCTGTATCTAAGCATCCTAGAACCAACCAAATTCCGGTGAGGGCAGGCACCAGTAGGTGGATGTCTATTTAAGTTTCAGTGGGTAGTAGTTACGCGGTTGACCAACCATAATATATTCCGTATGCATATATATCTAGTAGTAGTTAGCTTTATCCGGCCTGGTTGCTCCCAGACCCAAATGGTGCAATCGGTGACATTCGTTATTGGCAGTACGCGTCGCGTTTTGCATATGGGGCATGCAGTAGCTCCATCAAACATGTAGAGTCATCCTCCAAAGTTGAAGGACATAGTTATGGTCATACTACAATGCTTTCTATCATTGATTCCATACATATTGGCTGAGCTCATTTCATATCAAGCTCACCAATTTCATCGTATCGAAACTTTTCGAAAAACATTCATACGTCTCTATTTCAGACCATCCCTATCGTAAGACGAACCAGGAAATCTGGGCGGGTATGGTCCAATGCGTTCAATTTTGATTCAGCAATGTAGAGGCAGCCAGCGTATGCAACCAAAAACAGTAATCTTGTCTATTGCTTTCTGATAAGAGTACAGAGACAAGTGGTATTCGTACAGAATGCACAACTTTGCAGGTCCTAGAACGCTTTCTGCATTCCCTTTTCAACGTTCACAAATAGATACGCTTGTGCTTCAACTCTATTTCACGTCATAAACATCTAAATATCATTCCTCCAACCCGGCCCACAACCATTTTTGGTAAAATCATTACCCGCCATATAACCCACAAAGCAAATTGGACAATTTCGCCCGCAGCGGATGTCCACTTCTTGACACTGTTACGCAGTGTAAGGAACCACTCGTCATGTGAGGGTGCTGCATCCGCTGCTGCCAGTTCGATGTCGATATCTTGCCCAGTATTGGCACGGACGACTTGAATGAGACAGAGTAAATTTCTTGTTCCTTCATCTTCTTCTTCATCAGGGTTGGTCGATGGACATGGGCCCACGGTAAAATGAACCCAAGTGGGCACAGGATCTGATGATGTGTCCAGTTGAGAAGGCACCGCTGAGTCGAGGTATTTCGACGGCGATGGAGGAGGTGTAGGTAGAGGCGTGGACGGGTCGGCAATACTGGAGCTGCGGGAGGTAGATCGAGGACTTTGAGGGACTGAGGTTGCGGTGGAGAAAAGTGGAGGTTCAAGTGGGCTGGCAGAGGACGTGGCATCATGCGGAGAAACATTTTCAGGGGAGAATGTGGGAGATAGATGAGGTCGAAGTTCAGGTGCGAGGCCGATAGAGCGAGATCGGGCCCGTGCGGCCATGTACGCATTGACTTGTTCAAAAACTTCATCCGCATTTGCTTCGTCCGTGATCGTTTCATCAGGATTAGATACCATCTCAAAATCTTGCTTTTCTTCTTCATCATCAGCGGGAACTGCCACAGATCCCTCCCGCCCTTCGACAAGATCTCCATCTGCCCGCCCATCTTCTGTGCCTGACCAAGTCCAGCGAACCATAAACACAGCATAGCCATACGGTCTGCATGCCCGGCTCAACCCTCTGCATAGCTCCGCCACATCGTCCGGAGCCACAAAGCGCATTATGAAGCGATTCAAGAGGGACTCGGTATCATGTCCTAGAAACTGGGTCATGGGAAATGCTTGGACGATTCTACCGAAAGAGTTCAAGCGCAGCACAATAGTTTCCGTCGGTGGCGGGGTCTCTACGTTTCGCACATTGGTATCCTCGGAATCCACCTCAATAGCTCGTGACAGGTCTCGCACATCCGTAATGTCTTCAAGAAACCAGACACTATACGCAATACCGTCTGTTTCGACTTGGTGCATGCACACCTGAATGAATCTGGTATCTTCTTCAGCGTCCTCCTCCGGTGCTAACACTCGCATCAATCTCACAGATCCAACATTGCGGTTCGGTACATCGGAAGAATCTGTGGCAACAAGTGTATTCCAGTCCCTGCCGACAATCGTTGAACCAGAAAAGAGACGTTCAGCAGAGGGCGACGCGGCAATGACCTTATTCTCCAAGTCAGTGAGAACGATAGCGCTGCTCGAAACCGGACAAGAGGATATGAGGTGCGGAGACTCCTCCATGAGCAAAAAATTGTAGTGTGAGCGGTGCAGAGTGCGGGGATTTGCGCGTTGAACGTCGCGAGAACGAGACTGCCCAGCCGAAGGGGGGAATAAGGTCAGCACACCCAATGTCCAGAACTGTCGGCCACACGAGAGCCACACACCTGCCACAAACTAAGCACAACCGAAATCAAGAACGTCATCGGCGAAATTAAAAGAAAAGTTTAATTTGGACACGTTTTTGTGGATCTGTTTTGCATCACGTGGGGTTGTTGGACAGTTTGTCCATTTATGGAAAGTTTATGGATGATGTCATCAATATGCTAACCAGCTGTGCCACACTTAACCGCCGGAACACATTCTGACCCGACAATGTGGAATTAACGGGTGATCCGCCGGCCAATTCCACAGGCTCTTACCGCGTTTGTTTAATGAAATTAGGAGGGAAATGATCGAGTCTCTCAAAACCTGGCTGCTCTGCTCTGGCTGTTGCTTCAATTCGTTGAACGCATTTACACCAGATGCTCTCAAGTTCCCTGCCGGCTATTCGACTTTGCATCCTAGGTGCACGTAGCGTTACGTCGTCCTCTCGCTGTTGCGCCGCAGCACTATCTTCTTTCGGACGTTCATCCCTTGCAGGCACCTTTCCCACCTCCTCACCCAGCCTCATGCAATCGACCAGGACGGCTGCGAATGTTGCAACTGTTGAGTCGTTTTCAAAAGAACAGTTGCACCCCCGTTCTCTAAAGTCCTCTGAACCGCCGACAGTTCCTACAATTGACTTTGGTTCATTTAATAATGTGACTGGTGAAGGTGCAAAACACGTCGCTGACCAAATTCTGAAAGCCGCCCTGGATACAGGTATTGCTCTCCATTTGCTAGGTCCCTTGGTGCGCGCTGCTTTCTGAATCACGCTTGTACTGGGACAGGCTTCTTCTACCTCTCCAATCACGGGGTTCCTCAAAAAGACATTGACGATATGTTTGAACTGGTAAGTTATTATATTACCGTCCACCGCCAAATGGTTTATGGTTAATTTTGGCCGCCTGCATCGTAGACGAAGAGATTTTTTGCAAAAGGGAGTGCCCATAATGCCAAATATCCGTACAACCCAGAAATAAACTCTGGCTATCTTGGAATCGCAACAGAAAGGTACGCTCCTGGACTAATGCATACGTAGCAATAGTGAAAACTCATAGATAATTCTATGTTCCACAGACTGAATCCAAATTCAGACGAACAGGAGTACAAAGAGGCAGTAAACATCCCGAAATTGAATGGCCGTACCGCTCGTAAAGAGGACTTTGCTCCTGAATTAGCGAACAATTGGGAGCTGCTGACGCGGTTTCATCGAGTAAGAAACTCCAAACCATCAAATATAACTGGATCTAGTTCTCTTACGCATTTTATATGTTGCATAGTCTGCTCACGACTGCCTTCTCCGCGTATTACGTGCATTTGGAATGGGGCTTCAAATTCCAGAGTCTGCTGGCGGCCTCGACTATTTTACATCCTGCCATCGTTACGAAGAATCGAGTGCTGATATCCTGCGAATCTTGTGGTACCCCGCTATACCCGCGGACAGAAGCACAAAATGGACGCGAGCTGCTGCGTAAGGCTTTGGATCATAAACAATGGTTTCGCCACTACTGACTTGATACCGCAACGCTAGCCATAGCGATTACGGCAGCCTTACCTTATTATTCCAAGACTCAACTGGGGGGCTGGAGGCCCTTTTGCGGAGTGGGAACCATGAACCGAAATGGATACCGCTCCCTCCACGCCCAGGAACCATTGTTGTAAACACGGGAGATCTGATGGAATTCTGGACTGAGGGACTTGTAAAGTCAACAGCTCACCGAGTAGTGTTCCCGGATGGCCCTGCAGCCCATCAGGACAGGTCAGCACAGGTTTGAGATTTCCTTGTCAGCGCATAGAGCATACTAACGTGGCTCTTAGGTACACAATCGCCTACTTTGGGCAGCCCGAAGACTCTACACCACTGACTACAATTCCCAGCGAAATTGTCAAAAGCAAAGTCCTTCAGGATGCCAAAACTGGGAATGGCGAAGCACTGTTCCGTGGCCCAACGTCCATGTCTCAGGAGAGGGCAATGACTGCTCTGGAACATTTGAGAATGAGGTTGAGCGAAATTCATTAAGTGGCCCGTAGGCTCTACTGCGGGATGGACATTTATTTTGATTTTTTGTCGAATATTTGGCTGCATTGCGGTTCTGCAGTCGGTGTAGTTTAGCTTAGTTTTATATGTATAGTCAAAATGGTGCAAGCTGTAAAGTTATTAGAATTGATATGATGTGCAATGAGATACCTCACAAGATAATGGTAATTTTGGCACCGCCGGCAATTCCTATGCTTTTCGATCTTGGAAAGCACAAGCAAAAACTTCTCCGATTTACTCTATGGACCGCCTGCGTGTGACTTCATCTCGGCCGACATTATTCTTTGAGCACCTGCTGAACTCTACGGCACAGCTGTCTCATTCAGGTTTGTATGGACATCTAAGGGGCTCTTGTGGTGCGACGCAATTGCTCATACCTATATCCCCGGCAGCTTGCAACCAAATGTATCGCAGTGAACGGCAACAGCCCGTGTTCAGCTCGAATCTTGCAAAATTCCTACACAGCCTGCAAATGCAAGTGATACACCTTCTACCGCATTACTTTTGCAGTTGCCCAGTTTTTTTTTTTTTGTTTTTTAAATAGGCATTGTTCACTGGCTTAAGAAAGCAGCACCGGCTATTTCTGCTATGGAAACTGCTACAGTTGTAAGTCATTGGATCCTTCTCAAGTACTCATGTACGCCATCGAGTCTCGTTCTGAGAACTCATTTATCACATTTCATCCTGCTAGTAGTAGGCAGTAATGAAGTTCGGTCATGCATGTATGATGCTACCGCTGACGGCGTTGTTCACGTATGGTTTATGAAGGAACAGCTCCTTCCAGTTGTGAAAGATCCAAAGAATGTCAATGGCAACTGCCTAACCCCATATCCTGCATTCACCCCAAGTGAAATTCTCCTCACTCTGATCTGATCATTGCGGTCACATTTATTCATGTTTCTATAGGAAATGCTGCGTTGACATGCTCCCAAGTATGTGTATGCCCCTTCCTTGTTCAATTTCCTGACATGCTCCAAAGTATATATGTGCCAACCGCAATTCCGTCAACTGCTATCTCTGCGCCTCTTGAGTAGGCACGGATATCGCCCCCATCCGCTGTCCTGACCGAACTGATTCGTGGCAGCGTTGATACTCTGCTCGAGAAACATCGCTTGTGGTCTTCTAATGGCCAATGCCCCGGTCATTCTTGCTGGTGGATATATCGTGCCCGGGCAGCATGAACCAACGAAAGAAAGGAAAAGAAGGTGGTAAGTGTACGTCCAAACATAGAGTTGATGTGGATGCACCCCAATTGACACTACTAAGTGCTGCCTCTTTTGCACGTATTCACATGGACTATTCGGCCACGGCGCGTTAGAATCGTAAAGGGATAAGGCTGCCTGCTCCTGCTTAGCGCCGACCGAAGTCAGAAACCGGATCGGTGTAGGGACCAGCGAAGATTCAGCAATCACCGCCAGTCCAGCCTCCGAACTGGTGCAGAACACTCTCTTTCCAACCAACCCATTTGGAATGGAAGAAAAAGAGCGGCTGGGTCGCGGTCAAGCGCGCACAGGGTCTACCGAAAGGTAGACCTAAAGTTGAACCCATTGCACGGTTATCGTGCGGCTTGAGGGATCCCTCCTCTCCCCACAGCAACGTCGAATGATTTGGAAACCATGAAAACTCACCTTACTGTTTCGTTGCTTGACGCGACGGAGAGCGGATGCGCGAGCCAGGTGTGCCGGGGCAGGAAGCGAGAGCCAGGTCAGACAGCAGACGATGAGGCCGCTTTGGCTGAGGAAGTTCGGGAAAATGTGTGCAAGACTCGCCGAAAACGAACGCCAAATTGGACGTAGACGGGCAGTATGAACAGTCCGAGAAAGAAACAAAAAAAGATGATCAGCATACATCCGAAAAGTATGTTCATGCACCCCATTTGACTACTATAGAAGTTGCTGCCTCTTTTGCACGGAAAAATGTCAAATCATTGACCCGCTAGACGATTCGTCTAGGGACGCGTTAGAATCGTAAAGGGATAAGGTTGCCAGCTCCTGCTTACGCCGACCGAAGTCAGAAACCGGATCGGTGTAGGGACCAGCGAAGATTCAGCAATCGCCGCCAGTCCAGCCTCCGACTGGGTGCAGAATACTCTCTTTCAAACCGACCCATTTGGAATGGAAGAAAAAGAGCGCTGGGTCCGGTAAGACGCGCACAGGGTCGACCGAAAGGTAGACCAAAAATGAACCCATTGCCCGGTTATCGTGCGGCCTCAGGGATCCCTCCTCTCCCCACAGCAACGTCGAAATGATTTGGGAACGATGAAACTCATCTTACCGTTTCTTTGACGCGAAGGTCGCTCTTTGGGGGAGCGGCGATGAGGTTGGGAGGAAAACGGGAAACGCGTTGAGAGGAGAGGCCTTAAATACTGCGCAAAACCCCCTTGATGGAACGGCACAGTCATGAAATGTGATCATGTAACCAAAAGAAGATTTATGAAATTGTTACGGCACAGTCATGCCGAAGAGACTTGGTCACGTGTGTGTCATATAACCTAGTTGGGATAAATGATATTGATTTCATTCCATTTGCGAGCGCAAAAATCACGATCGCACTGAATGCTATGCCTTGGAAGAGCGGTATCTAGTGGTTCTTACCAATACCATCAGGTGCCATTTCTATCACAAGCAATTGATCAGATTGTATTTTAGAAGCGAGGAATAGGATAGCAATGGACAAGTTCCTCCACCGGCCATTGAGACAAAGTATGAGACGTATAGCAAGAGTCTAACATACCGTTCCGTTTTCGAATTATGCGGGGATTATTAGACATATGTGGTATTCGCAGCCGCAAAGTTCAAGTAACTTTTACAAAGATGGTATTTGAAATGAACGTATGCTACGGCAAGAGTACATTCGTGCAGGATGTTTCCACAAGGACACCGTCGCTGCGCGTGCATGCTCAAAACAGTGCAGCACGCGGAGATAGGACTGAGGTTCGTGCAGGTAGGACAGCTGACATTTTCCAGTGTCAAGTGGCATGGTTGATACAGAAATGTTTCCTCATGGATTGATGGTAGCCTGCCAAATGCGCTCTCTCGGGACGTTAACATTTCAGCATAATTTCTGGCCGCATAGGGTTCCTTTAGTCTGCAAGGATGAAACCATAAGAAGCAATTCACCATTAAGTCATAGGAATATCTGCAATAAAGCTGCTAGTCATGGGCTTGCGAAATGGGACGATAGAATGTCGGCATAATCGCCCAGGTCTCGCTATGTAATTAGAACTACGACCCTTGATATGGAGATGAGCCAGCATAGTCCACAGGATCTAGTCACTAATAGGCATTCCCAGCCTCTTGTACAGCGTTGAGTTCGAGGCAAACTCATCAGCAAATTTGATATGGACATGTATGGCCTGGCATGTTCTCATTATCCACAATTCACTACATTGGCTCGGAGGATAGATAGAGAGGGTCACGCTGTCGAACGATATGGTCCACATAAGAGCAGGCTATTACAACATCAGAGCCTGGTATCTCGGTGGGTGGGAGAGACAGTCGATAGTTGTAGGAGGGTTTTGGACTTGGAAATACACTGATTCATGATCGGTCGTAAACGCCATGGAGTTATTCTGATTAAATCTACTGAACAAAGTCAAAGTAAAAACAAACTGGCAAAACTGATGGAAACATCGTTCAATTACAGCCAAAATTCGATCACGATATCTTGAGACAAAACATTGCTAATCCCATGTGGTCTGTTGGTCGGAATCAGAAATGTGATCGCAAACTCTAAGATAGGTACCTGCGAAAAATGAAGTTTGACCAAACTGTTGACATTGTGAAAAAATGGGTGAGCCACGGATTTTCAGTAGGTTGATCAGAATGGACGTTGGTTACAGAGTTTATTCCTAGAGACCAGGAAAGCGACCAGGAAAGCGACTTAGGCAGGAGGAAGAATCATCGTCTTATTACTATTTCCACTGCATCAAGGAGACAGGCATCAACAAGTTGAAATACAAGAGCAATCTTCCCCTCCCATAGATTCCCGTATATAACGTTGATATGGTGCCCTCTGACCAAAGATCAGTATGGCCATGCCGACTTTGGTAATGATGACAGGCGCCAGAAGTTTCAAATCAAGGAGACATTTAAGCCAAGGCACTGGCCACGATGACTGGAGGAGTGGTAACCGGAGGCTTTGTGGAAGAGGTAGCGCTCTTGGAAGGACTTTGTTTCAACACTTCCTCGACAGTAACGCCAAGCTTCAGGAGACACCAGGTCTCAAAGCATATGGAAAAGATCCTCACATAGGCATCGATGGGTGTGAAAGTGGTCCGAAGACTGGTGATTTTTAAAGCTGTATCGGCTATTTTTCGAAAAGGATACGTGAGTGTAAACAGCAATCAACGCAGAAAGGTATCTCACTCACTGAGTTG